GACAGTTACAGCCTGACCAGACCTACTAGATTATAAACTCTTTGAAGGCACAGTCAATGTTTCAGACAAATTTCTTTCCTCCATCTAATTCAACGGGTGTGTTGAATAAATAGGAAAGTATTCACAGCTACAGCGATTAAAAAAAACAACAAACCAACCAACCAACAACAACAACAACAACAACAAAAAAGGCGGAGCCCATTTTTATCTTCTAGTTAGGGAAGTATTTGGTTCCAACCTGTGATTTTGAAAAGCTGAAGAACTTGTGTGGGACATTATCACTTTACGAAACAGATAAATGAGAGCTACCAACTTTGTTTTCAATGAGCAGAGGTGGGACAGAAAAAGAGCTGGAGATTGTTCTTTGTGCTGTGGCATTTTAGTGCACCTGGCTTTGGGGAGGAGGGGACAGAGCCGTGGGCTTGGGTATGGCTTGATAGAGAGCTCTCCTGCTTAGGTTGCGCAGTGTTGGGAACAAACTGGACCTGAAACACTGTCCTGCCTAAACTCTTCCTTTGCTGAGAAAGAAACTGAGGCCCAGGGAGGTGGTCTTGCTTAGGCTCACTAAGCTAGATGGTGGCGTAGCCCAGACTACATGGTTTACAAATAAAGTAGTGAACGAAGCAATATATTAAACTTTTCTGCTAGAGACCCTAGGTGAGAAACCTAGCATTTAATTCATTCTAGGATATAGTAACATGCATAGACAAATAAATGGAGGACATTAAAAGGATCTGTGACAAAAGCAGGATGAAAAAAAACCCTTCGGGCTGTGGTTTTTGAGGTTGTTGGATGATGTTCAGTCTAAATGTTGCATCCTCCAGTTTTTGTAGTCCTGACGTGGCGGCTAGAGGTGGGCAAGGAAGGGCACGCATTCCTCAATTCCACTGGTTCCTGTTGCTTCATGTTGATTCATGGGACACAGTGGACATAGACTTCTTTGCTCTGAGGAGCAGGAGACAGCCTCCCAGTTCTTTTGAGGATTCCCATTCCCACCCAACAATCCACTCAAAATGCAGAAGGGATCACTCCTGTTCCAGTTGAGAGTCGTGAGGAAGCCACCCTCTCTGCTCAGAAAAGAGGAACCCACAGGGCCTTTCTCCCCATTGCCACCTTGATTAATTCATGAATGATTTTTCAGGCAAGTTTTATTCAGGCACTTTGGGGCAGGGCAGTGAGTCAGAGGTTGGCATCAAAAACCAGAATAGAAAGCCATTGTCCTCTCTGGGGATCCTACTCTGGGCTTTAAATTCCCAGATCACACAACTTCCTAATTTGAAAGAAATGCTCTTAAACAAGAACATAGGTTTTGCCAGGCCTGACAGTGACGAATAAAGTCGGTCTGAGGACTGTCTGATGAAAAAGAAGTTGGATTTACATGACACAGTGAACTTTTAAGTATTTTCACCTGGAGGTTTATTTGATAAATGTAAATAAAATTTCTCTCCTTGGGCAATTCCATCTTCTGCAGATATACTTTGGTTAATTAAATTAACTTTGAAATGACATTCAAACAATATCTTTCTTCCAAATGCCTTTGTTTTTTCCAAGATCTACTTATTGACAAGCTGTTTCACAAGTTCCTGTGTAAAATGATTAAGTGCCCCACCCCCAACTTGCATACTAATTGAGACGGTTAATTTCTATAGTCGGTATCCAGTAGCCCGAACCATGTTGCCATTTGTGTGCCCAAAGGCCACCACACAATACAAATCTATCTATCTATCTATCCAACTATCTATCTATCTATCTCTCTCTCTCTGGGGTTCTTACAAAGGATCCGGATAAATACAAAATTTAAATCTCATTTACTGAAACTCACACAAATGAGGGCAAATTCCTGAGTTAAGGGAGGATTTAAAAAAATTAGTCTCTTTCAAAAATCAGGCATTCGTTTTGGTAATAAAAGCGGCTCTTGGCTTAAATCCATTCAGTCCGAAGCCGCGGCTCCTCTTCAAGGTGCGGACGCGCAGGCGCGGGCACGTACACGTGGACACACAATCACTCACACGCGCCCGCCCACACTCCCGTCCCTGTGCATCGCCTGCGGGATTTACTGGTTTCGCCACCACGGATTACTGTCAGGTGCAGAGAGCAAGTCTTGTTCCGTAGGCATTTTCCTTTCTCCCGGATTTGACTTAGTATTTACGGGCCACGTGAGCCCTGGGCGGGGGTCGGTCCGCGGGAAAGAGACCCCAGCGCAGGGGAGACAAAGGCCAGAAGAGCGGGGCCAACACCGCCCAGGGACGTCTCCGCAGTTCCTGTGACAAATGCGAAATTGGCCTGGATCTGCTTGCGACTGCGAGGCTCTTGCAAGAGATATTCTGTCCTAGCCCTTGTGAAGGCGTCGGCATTTTCTTGGGCGGGGAGAGGGCCCTGCCCGCGGGCCTGGCATGGGCCGGATTCCGGGGTTCCACGGGAAAGCGAGTGAGCCCTGGACGGTCGGAGCACGGGGAACTCCTTGGAAATGAGCGCTCTCGGTGTTCCCGAGAGAGCGAGGCTCTAGACACAGCTTCACAGCTACGTCAGTCCTTGAGAAACGACCGAGGCCCCCTTTGCCCTCGGGAGGGAGTACGAACCCTTTCCCACCGGAGAGGCCAAGCAGTGAGCCTTTCACCGCTGACCTCACACCCGGAGTGCCCGGTGCCCGAGGTTCTGCCTCCCGGAGGCCTCGGCTGAAACGCGGTTGTGGCCCCTTCCAGGGCTGGGACTAGTGGGAGCAACGCGCCTCGGGCGCAGAATTTAAGGGCCACCAAAAAGTCAGTGGTCAAAATAAATATTTTAACGCAATGCTTTTTGAAGCAATTAATTGCCAAAAAAGTATGGTGAACAAAATATTAAATTCTTAGTAGGCACAGGTTCAACGCTGTGCCCTGCGGAGCCATTTGTAGCCCTGGGTAAAAGGGAGACCCCCGGGCCTGGGGTGCTGGGAGACTCTCGGCGCAGGGGGAGAGGAGCGCGAGCTGCAGGCTTCGGAAGCACAGGCCCCGAGAGGGCCCGGTAGGGGAGTGCGGGCGTTGGGCGGGGGCGGGCCTGGGGGCCGGAGGTGGAAGGTCGGGAGCGCTGCTCAGCCCGGAACAAAGGCGGAAAGCCAGTGGGGGCTGAAGGGACTCGAAGGGCTCCGCAGCCTTCGATGCCTGGGTCGCGCTTCCACACTGACCCGGAGTGGAAGACTCGACCGCGCTGCTACCGAGGCTGTGAGCGAGTCCTGCGATTCTCCAGCTCGCGGGTTAATTCGCACTAACAAAACTTGGCAAGATGTCGGGCGAATAATTTTTGGCTTCTGTGTTGTCCCCATCGCGACGCGCACAGCCCCCCTGCCAAAACAGCCTCTGGGAAATTAAATGCATAAGTAAAACTGGGGACGGGAAAAAATGCCACATGACCTGGAAAGAGGGGTGCAGTGCCCCGAATCGGCCTCAGAGCTTATGAAGTCCTTAACGCGTAAATTTCACAGGGTCTAGCTTCCCACCAATATGTGGACCCTTATCATCATTTCCTAAGAAGAGAATTCGCACATGTTTCAGATGGGGTGGGGAGTTTTCCAAAAAGGCAAAAGCATTGGTTTTTGTGTCGCCGCCCTCCCCCCCTTCCCCCGGTTAAACAAACATCTTTAGGAAGCCCGGACGGGAGTGGCAACCCCTGCCTTCCTCCGGAGGAACTACAATACATTCCGGCAATGAATGCCTCCCTCTGGGTCGTAAAGCAACAGACCCAACACCTAGCTCCCATTACTGGACTTCGGGGCGGGAGGGCTTTCTCTTTAATCTTCTAAGCTGGGGCTTGCCCAGGTCCTCGGGAAGCTATAAAGCTGATTTAATGGTTTAAGATGAAAATCGATCACACTAATGCATAGTCCAACGTCAGGGGAATCGCAATTGAAAAACCGACTAGCCGGACCGGACGCACTCCGTCAGCCTGGGACGAGGAGGTCCCAGACTCTGCCAGGTGGGCAGCGGTGCCACGATCCTCCCTTCCCCTCGCTTCGGGACCGGGGAGGAGGCCTGAGAGGATGTTAAGGGGTGGGGAAGGGGGACCACAAAGAATAAAGGAATCAAAACCGACCCCCCTAGTCTCCGTTAGGCCGTCTTCTCGGCCAGCTAATTCCTTTAAGCCCAACGCCGCAGCCGGACCAGCGGCTGCGCTGAGACTCGCGTTGGGTAGATCGCGCGCCGCCGAGGCTCGGGCCCGCGGCTGTCAGCGAGACGTGCCCCGCGCTCATTCACAAAGTCCAGGCGAGCAGCTAGCCTGCGGGTCGGAGGCCTCCTCCTTCTTCCTTTAGGTCCCGGTTTTATGAATGGGCCTGGCGACCGGCGCTCAGCGTCCTGTTTACTCCGCTCTTTGTGACGTCGCGTCCCCGTGACTGGGCGCGAGCTGCCAGCACTCCATTCACGCGCAAGGGAGGAGGTGGGGGCAGCGACTGGCTGGGCGGAGGGAGCAGAGATGGGGCGGGGAGCCAGCGCTGGGGGAGCCAGCGTGCGGCCCCGAATGGAAGGAGGCGGGGCTTCTCCAGGTAGTACTGAATCTGCCCCCTCCCCGGGGAGAGCTGAGGAGCGTTAATAAATCTCTAAGCCGAGGAGGAAACTCTGGCTGGGGCAGTGCGCTGAGCTCCGGCTGCTCGTGGAGAACGGCGGCCGAGCGGCAGCGCCGGAGTCTGCGGCGGCAGGAGCAGCACAGCGGGCAAAATACAAAGAGACCACAACAGAAAGGAGCCCTTGGCCCTCTCCCCTAAACACTGTCCCTTCCACCGTCGCCTCCCCTTCGCACCGCGCGCGGTGCTGCTCGTGCCCGGGGCCACTTGGACTTCTATGTGACCGCGAGACTGCCGAAGGAAGGATCCTGGGGACAAGAGGGTCGCCTGTGGGAGCCCCCGAGGGCCAAGTTTGCGGCCACTTTTGCACGCACCCGCCCTTAGCCCTCGCCAGGCCCTTTCTGCAGCCCAGCTGTCCCGGCTGTCCTTCGCCTGCTCGCGTGCCCTGCAGCCGTTGTTCCCGGCGACCATGGTGACCGTGGAGGAGCTGCGGGAGATGGACTGCAGCGTGCTCAAAAGGCTGATGAACCGGGACGAGAACGGCGGCGGCGCCCTGGGGCTGGTGAGCGGCGGCAAGTGCCTGCTGCTGGACTGCAGACCGTTCCTGGCGCACAGCGCGGGCTACATACGAGGCTCGGTCAACGTGCGCTGCAACACCATCGTGCGTCGGCGGGCCAAAGGTTCTGTGAGCCTGGAGCAGATCCTGCCCGCCGAGGAAGAGGTGCGCGCCCGCCTGCGCTCCGGCCTCTACTCGGCCGTCATCGTCTACGACGAGCGTAGCCCGCGCGCTGAGAGCCTCCGCGAGGACAGCACCGTGTCGCTGGTAGTTCAGGCTCTGCGCCGCAACGCCGAGCGCACCGACATCTGTCTGCTCAAAGGTAAAGGCGAGCGCAGGAGCGCGAGCTGGAAGCGGGGCGTAGCGGGGCTTTGGCGGCCTGCGCCTTGGTGGCTAGGGGAAAAAGTCCCCGGAAGGACTCGCGGCGGCGCGGATCCCCTCGCACTGCTTTGTGCGTGTTAGTGTGTACGGGTTTGCAAGGGTGTTGTGCGTTTGTGTTGCAGTGCGAGCTCCTGAAGTCCTCGGGACGGTGAGGGCACGTTTCCTCCGTCACCTGCAATTCTGCGCCCTTCCTGGCTGTTTTGCATTTGTTTACACTCACTAACGGTCAGGCCGCGCCGGCAAAATGCCTCTTCTGGTTTGCCCACCTTCAAGTCCAGGGAAGTGCTCCCAAGTGCCACTGTGCGGGTGGGGACAGATTAGGCCTGTCGGTTTGGCATGCCGGGGCCCTGCACGGAGTCCAAACCCGAGAACCCGAGAGGTGGGGAAGGGGGTGAAGGACAGAGCGCTGGTTCCACCAGGAACCAGCCCTATGGAAATGCGCACAGAAGCTCGGGTTTCGGACACGGAGCGATCTGTATCTCCTCCCCGACTGTCCAACTCCGAGCTCCTCCTGGAAGGTGGCCAACTCCTCCGGTGCCGGGCTAGACCCGGGCTCCCGGCGCTGCAAGCGGGAGGTGTGAGTAGTTGAGGAACGCAAGGCGAGACAGTGTCTCTTAAATATTCAGGCAGCAGAGAAGTACGACCTTTTGTTCAGACACGATTCTCGACGAGCAGATGGCGGTGCCGTGCTTGATTAAAGAGAACCCTGATGAAACTCTTTGGGGAAGAGAGGTCTTGTCAGATCTGAAAGTAAGACACGGAGCAAGGACCGCGTGCTGTCCACGTAACTGGAGGGACGGTGCGCCCGCTGGCACCTGCGGGCCGGGCCCGGCCGCGGTCCTCGGCGGCCCCCGCGCGGGGGGAGCCTCAGGACGCGTGGGGTGAGGGCGTCCCCCGGCCGTGCGGAGCCCCTGCCTCCCTCCGCCACATTCCGCGCATTCTTTCTCCCTTGTCCAGTCCTCGCCTCCGAAGCCAGAGGCGTTGCAGACCCGGCCTTCAAAGAGTCGCGCGGTTCCCCCCTGCCGGCGCCCCGCGCCCCCTCCCTCCTTTCCTTTCCTTTCCTCCCTGGACCTGCTCACCCTAGAGGAAGGGGAGGAGGGCGGAAACCTCTCCCCACCGCCCTTTCCAAAGGCACCACAAAACTGCTCAGTGGCGACGGGCCGGGCTTGCCCTGGTGAACAGCGGGGGGCTTTGTTCTCGGCAGTTGTTTCCTGGCCATTTGACCTGTCAGCTGCTGGGGAAATGCTGCTGTTGACCTGTGGTTGAACTACTAAGGCGATTTTGCTGATTTTTCTTTCTCTGTGAGGCTGCCTTTTGCACCTCCGGTGGAGCCCAATCCTCCTCCCCTCTCCTCAAAGCCCTTTCAGAGAAAGTGCCAGGAAAGGGCCAACCCCGAAAGGACCGGGCGCCCCGTGGCGGGCGCACATCCCCGCGTGCTCCCGCGTCCAGGTACTGGTTAGATCGCCCCTGTGGGGGTATAGGCAGTTGAGCACACCTGCTCGCGCTTGTCGGGTCCTGGCGGGAACGACAAGAGAAACTGCTTTGACACGAAAGTCCCTTCGAGTGGCCGGGTATAGCCAAGGTGTTCTCCGTGCCGCCCTGCCCTGGGTCCCTCCTGTGTTAGAGCCCCCGCGCTCTCCTCCCTCCGCGGGCCTCTGAACCCTGGACCTTTCTCCGGGGAGGGCAGACCCACGTGGAGTCTGGGTTTGTTTTGTTTTTCTTGGAAGAAATCCGGAGGGTCCCCCCTCTAGAGCGGCAGCTCGGGGACCTTGGCCCTTGGGCTTCCTGGCGCGCAGATCCGTAGGCCCCGCTCCCGGGGAGGGAGGCTTATTTTTAAGGTCCCCGGCTTGCGGCACCTGCCTGGTCCCCCGAATCCCACCGGGAGAGCCTGGAGCCAGATCGCTTGTGGGAGCCTCCCCACGGCTCTGCACGAGGCAAATGCTAATGTAAAGCTTGAGGAGGACAGGAGCCTCTGAGTAAAATGCTAGTCCCCTGACGGTTGGCGAGGTGCCTGGCCAGCGGAAAAGCAGTGCATTCGAGGCCTGCACTGCCTCCTTCGGTCGGACCTTGCGCGGGCCAGGAGGAAGACCCTGTGCCCCTCACAGTGGGCAGACCCACTCTTTCCTCTGAGATGCCGTGTCTGGGCCTGGTCTCAGGGTGAACTTGTCTCTTTAGAACAGGCCACGGCAGTAGCCAGGAGACTCTCAGCGGGTCTTCATAAGCAAAGGGAGCCTGCCTTGGGCATCTGCTGTCCGAACTTCTTAGAGGTGGCAATCCCGGCGGGTTCTGTTGTGCTGGTAGAATATCTTGGAGGTGGTTGGCTGGGCCATCGTCTGTTTAACTGAACTTCTTTGCATATATGTGTTAAGCTGAGGTCACCTTAACACAATTCCTCTTCCTTCTCTTTGCATCCTACTGGAAAAGGCTTTGGCAGTGAGGGCAGAGAGAAACTGGGCAGTGTCTGCTCCCACCTCCATGGGGAAGCTGCCCTCGCGGAGGAGACCAGTGAAGGCCTCCCCACCCCCAGCTGAAGGCAGGGGAGTGGAGGCGCTGTAGGGGGTGGGAGGGGATAGGGAGCTAAAGGGAAACTTTGGAAAACACCCTTAGATTATCTTTAGTAAAATGCCTGAATTGATTAGGGGTTGGGTAATTTGGTTCCTACCGGAGCTGTTCCTGTTACTTTGTAGCTAATGGGCCTTTCTGCACGTCTCATTTCATGGGTGGTGGTGGGTGTGGAGTAAAAATGGTCGGACACTGAGCCAGTCAGTGTCCAGTCAGCCAGTCGTTGGGGGCTGTCGTCCTGCAGGGGCAGTAAAAACAGCAGGGTCTTTTCAAAAGTTATATTATCCTTCCTGGCCAAAGGCTATCTAATTCTACCAATTCATTGAGTTTAAAAGTTTGATTTTTCTCTTTCTGTCTCTTTCAAGGGCAATTGGTTGGCTACTCGTTGCAGGTCGTTAAAATGACTGATACTGCAGTCAAGAATTCATAGTTAAGAGTAAATTTCACTTAATAAAATGCTGCCTAATTTTTGCATTTTGTAACATTACCCGTTTCGCTAAAAGCAATAAACCCAAGTCACTAAATTATTTGGCCTTTTTGCTAGTAAAATTCCCATTGGGGAAAACTTTTTTTTAAACCTAATTTTATTTAAAATCCTGTGAGGCATTTTTAGGGGCCGTTTAGAAGCTTCAGCTTTTCAGATTTTATTACAGTACGCTGCTCCTTTCAAATCTCTCTCCTACATACGTGGATTAGGGTTATAGGTGCCACGTTCCCCCCTTCATTAGAGAAAGACTAAAAGAGAGTTTTCTTATCCTAACAGAAGTCATTCTTTACCTCCCATATTCCCCAAATAACCAATCAGTCTGTTATGCCGGAGATTTCAGATATAAAAACATTATCTCTCTTTTCTGTCTAAAATTAATCTTAGCTCGTGACTTTTGCCTGATTTCACGTTCTTGATTTCAAAGCTCTCCTGGAACTGTTCTGAGAAATTTGGAGGATCAACCAGATTATTTGAGCCCCTCCCTTCCCATGGGAGCTCCTGGACTCTCCAGTCCCGAGGCCTGACCCTTCAGGCCTGACTCTTCAGACCCCGACATCACACTTTCTGTAGAAACAGCTACTGAGACCGATAATGAAGGAGATGGGGTGGAGCTAGTAGCCCTGGCCTTTCAGGTGACTGCTGAAGTTGTACACCTCCTCCACCCAAAGGGACTGGCTTTTCTCCTTACAAGTGTCACCGTGGCTGTGACAGCCAAGGATTGTTAGAATGACAAAAAGTGGTGTGCCCGAAAGAGAATTTCTATCCTCTATTGTAATTTCTTACAGAATTAAAATGATTGAAGCAAACTTGCTACTTTTTGCATCATTTGAACTGCATGATCCCAACACAAAACTAAAGATGGTGTCTGTAAGTTGAGTGTGAAACCTGGATCGTTATTAAGCCAATGAGCTCCCTTGGGCTTGGCCTTGCTGCTTATATTATAAGAGAGGGGGGACGCCCAGCGACTTAGAGGTGGCAAGGGAGGAAGGAGAGGATGGCCTTTTTTAAGGAGCCAAGAAATTTCTTTGAAGAATCAGAACATCTGAAACCAGATAGCCTGTTTCCTTACTGGGAGGCAGTTCCCGCCTGACAAAGAGGAAGTTTGACAGGAAGAAAAGGTCACTCTGGAACGGAAGCCAGTTGCTGAACGAAGCAGATCGCCCAGGACCGCCTGGGAGGGACCTGCAAACTAGAGCCAGCCAAGAGCCAGCCGAGTGTGGCCTTAGGTGTCAGCCAGCTCTCCGGGGACAGACAGGTCTGTGTTGGGAGTCCCAAGGTGAGGAGCCCACTTCAGAAAAATTTAAAATCTTCCCAGCATGATATGGGCACTTTCAAAGTCAACACCCACCTCAGGGGAAGTTCTCAAAGCCACATGACCTTCAGATGACCCCAGAGTTTCTTGCTGGGCAACATTTGCCTCGAATTGATACAATGGCCCAGGAAGCAAGGCCTTGAGAACGGGGATACCCTGGGCTCCGAGGGGGAAAAGCAGCAGCCGCATCGAGACTGGTGACCCTGGTCACCGCCAGTGACAGTCTCCCCCACCGCACACCGTTAGGGGTCTTGTTCTGGTGATGGGGCAGCCCTGCCCGCATCGCCCGTTCTCTCCAAAGCACCCCACACCCCTACTGCCTCAGCCCTGCACGGGCCCGGACTGAGGCCAGCCGGTCGTCACCTTCAGGAGACTCTGGAAAGCGCCTTGCTGAGCGAGTGAGTGTGTGAGCGACACAGAAGAGCAAGGAGTTGAACTGGAAATGTAGTTACTCCTCAAGGAAGACTGGTGAAAAATTACGTTCCTTCCCCCCAAGTTTTCAAAGTAAGATGAGAAAATGAGAACTTTTTAACACTACAAAGCCTGTTATTAATTAAGAACATGGGAAAAACAGGTCAAAATGAGTCACTATGTTGTAGGATGACATATACTAGGACGTAGGAAAAACAGGTGGAATCTGTTGTGAAATTGTTTTCAGAAGGTAGAAATGGGGATCTTGGGCCCCTAATGTCAGTCTGTAGTTTGCCACTAAGTAAGTTGTGGCCGTTAGGGATTGTGGAAGATTGGAATTTAGAGATGACATAGCCTGAAAGCCTCCCATTCTTCCCTTCCGAGGGCAGCACGGCCGGGGTTGGGGGAGCCTGTGCTTGCCCCACCCCTGGCTGGCGCCTCGCCGGTGCCCTCCGGCCTGCTCGCCTGCAGGCGGCTCGGGATGCAGCCAGCCCGTGGCCTCCGGGTGGAAAAAGCCTTCCTTCTCGTAGGTTCTGGATAGAACTGGGTGATCTAAATCGAACTCCTACTCACAGGGCTGTGGCTGTGGTGTTGGCACGGATTTGGGGGTGGGGAGGGGAGGGGAGGCACTGAGAAGTCTGGGAGCAGCCTTTGGACCCCACCTACAGTAAGAAATCGTTTTCATTTCCGTCATGATCCAGTACAGGGGTACAGACACACCTGAAACTAGAGTTCCTTGAAGTGATACCATCTTTAAATGCAATGCAGTCTAGTCGTTTGTTTTATTTCATGAAATTGAAAATGCTGGTCACAGCTCCTGAACGACATCCCGTAGTTAGGAAAGCACTGGGAAGCAGCAAGAGTTTGGTGAGATGGCCGCAGTGTTCTGTTCAGAGGTTTTTGCACAGTCTCTTCACTCGAAACGGGCAGGCGGGCCGTGCCCCCCGCAGAAGGACCACCAGGAAGGCAGGCAGGGTGGGCAGTGGGGCGGGCTCCTGACAGCTGGTGAGAAGTTGCCTTTGAGGCCAGCGGGCTGAACGCTGGCCATGCCCTTCGCTGGGGGCTGCCCCACAGCTCAGCTTCCTCTTCTGTAAATTGGAGGAAAGTCCCATCATCCTCCAGGACTACTGGTTGGACACATGTATGGGAAGAGCCTGGGATGCAGTGAGCATTTCCTCTTAAGAGTGCCTGTCATTTTTATTAACACAGATCTGATACCCAGAGACCATGTCCTGCAACATGGCCTTGTGTGGGGGTGGCCTTGGGGGGTTCCTGCCTGGGCACCATTCCGGGTGTACCACCTGCTGTGAGCTTCTGGCCCCGGGGCAGCTCCTGGCTCCCCCAGGAGGTGCTCCCTTTGTGACGCTGCTTGTAACAACCAGCCACAGACCCGCCCAAACCGCAGCTCGGGAGGAAAGCCCCTTTCCTGGCTGCCACGGCATGGATGTGACCCTCCCACGGCTCCTGTCCCTGCTGGTCTGCTTCCTCACTTCCTTCCTTTCTGCTCATTCCCTAAAGGGCCGCCAGAGGAACTGCCTCTTCAGCCATCATCTTTCTGTTCTGTTCTAACAGCGTCTTCTACTGACCATTGCGGGTCTGGCCTCTGTCTTGTCCCCGCCTGTCATCACACACCCTGGGGTCAGCAGCTGCTGCGGGTTCTGCTGCCCCCCGGGGTTGGTTGATGATGGGAGTGATGGTGGCGGCGGATGTCCCTGGCTGGGGAGGGGTCTTCAGCTCAGGAAGTACAGTCAGTGTCTGCCCTTTTGCTGTGTAACTCCACCGTCTCACGACTCCAGCTAGAAAAAATCAGGAAAGCCCAGGAGGAGGCGGCAGCGGCGGTGGCTGCCCAAAGTCTGGAAAGTTGCCAGGAATGCTGGAGTCCCCTTGCAGGTGCCTAAAAAGGAAACCTTCATTATGTGTCTCCCCGAGGCCAGGCGCCGAGCACTGGCTGGACCAATCAGTCCTCGAAGGGTGCCAGGCGGGGATGTTTCATCACAGCCTGCAGATGAGGATGGCGCTCGGAGGCTCCGCGGCAGCCCTGGGCCTGTCCCCCAGGCCTGTGCGTGTGGCTCTGAAGGCAGTGCGCTTTCCAGAACTTGCGTCTGGTGCCCTGTCCTGTACCTTCTCAGCAACGGGAAGAACATTCCTTCCACCACCTGAAGCTCCTTCCCCTTCTGCCCTCAGGGGTGCTCCTCTCTGTGACCTTGGAGCCTGGCTCTGGCCCTCCTGTGCCTTTCCCTTTGCTTTTGGGTGGGTGCCACTCTTCTGACTGTCCCGGTGATGAGCGTTTGGGGGGCACCGCTTGTTCCTTATATTTCTTTGGGGGCAGGGGAAACATGCTTTAATAGCTCGTATTATGTAATAAATGCAGGGATCATTTTTTTGTGTGTGAAAATGCAAACCCTGCAGAAGTCTACAGAGTAACACGTGATGACTTTTTATATAGGTGTTCAGCATGGTCTGTGGATTGATCCATTTCCGTTTCTCCTTTGGAGGAAGCATTTACAAAGTTTCCCGTCCCTGACTTCAGCCAGAGCTGCTGGGTAGCTCTTCTCCCCACCCCTCCCCCAAGTCTGTTCCGTCTGGGCCAGCAATGTCTGCAGCTTTAGAAGGAAAGAGGGAGCAGATGAGGGGAGGCAGGGCTGGGGAGCTGCTCCTGTGATGAGGCCACCACTAAGACCACCAGCACGTCTGAAACTGGCAGTGAGGGCAGGTCCCTCAGCAGGTTTTCTATCCCAGGAGGCTGGCCATTATGACTCAGCGGGAGCAGGTGCCTGTGACCAGAGAGATCTCCATTTATAGCCCGATGAGGGAGGGGGAGGGGAGCAGGGGAGGGATGTCTGCCCTGCCTCTGGAAGCCCTGGGATGTGGCAAAGGATCCTGCCCTTCCTCTCCGAAGCAGTTTGTAGGGTCGAGATCCTGGGCAAGCAATGGACTAACCATCACGTGCCTGCATATTGGAAGATTATTCTGCATGTTACAGGAAACAGTGGCACCGCATCACTAGCCAGAAAGGTTTAACAGTACTAGCTACATACACGGCCATCCGCGGAATGGGCCCACGGCGGTGGCTGCTCCACACCATGCAGGCCCCACTGAATTATTTTGATCTAAGTCTGTGTACATTTTTAAAATTAGGTATAACTGACATGTAGCATTAGTTTCAGGTATAAAGCGTAATGATTTGCTATTTGACTATATTGCAAAATGGTCGCTGCAATAAGTGTACCTAACATCTGTCTCTGCACATGGTTAAACATTTTTTCTTATGAAGAGAACTTAAAGATCGACTCGCTCAGCTGCTTTCACATGTACAACGCAGTCCTCTTAACTGGCCGTCCCCGTGCTGGACATCGCAGCCCGAGGGCTCGTTTATTTTATAATGGGAAGTTTTGATCCCTTTCGTCTGCTGAATTAATTTACAATCCATCTTTGGTCCTACAGTAAAAAGACAAGCAGGGCCAGACATTGACAGTAGATGGTAAGTTACCCACAGAGCAAAGGCCCAGAGATCACAAGATAATCGGAGATGGAGGCTGAATGTTTCTTCTTGGAGCATTTCCTGCCCGCCTCTGCCCAGCCAGCGCTGTTCTGCTTGGCACTAACGTGATTCCATTCAAGTTCATCTCTTTTTTACTTGAAAGACCTCCCTTCCCCGGAAGGTGATCCCACAGATAACCATTCCTGGGCTTAGCAACTCTCGGGTCAGGAAATCCTCCCTTGCCCCAAACCTGTATGTAGCAAGAGGGATTTATTTAGATTTAAGCCCATTTCCTCCCGTTCTGGCCCTTTGTTGGTGGAACAGCTGTTCACAGGGCCGTGCGACTGGCATCTGCTCTGTTGCTGAGATCCAGGAGGCCGGTGCCGGTGCCAGGTTCTCCTCTTCCCTCCCACACTGAACCCCTCCAAAGGAGGTGCTCAGGCTGGGGAACGACAGACATCTTTGTGGGTCCCAGGGCCCAGTGGCCGGTTTCTCATGCTCATGGAAACCCACGGTGGCCTTTCCGTCTTCCATGCCTTGTTGTCGCTCTTAGGAGCTTTTCTGGGGAGAGTCCCTTTTGCATACTCCCTGCCCATCTTCTGTGTGTCTGCATCCCACACTCAAGTCTTGACCACAAAGCTTTCCTCCAAGGCCTCCGCGTGCAGTCCTGGCTGAAGGTGGACCCGGCATCTCTGAAAAGGCTCCATAGCCATTATCTCTGGGCCCACAGCGCCACCCAGTGGCAAATGTAGAGCTAGCCAGGCCCAGCGTCCCAACAGTTCTCCTCAGTAAAGGGTTAGGATTCAAGATCTTTGTGGTTTCTTGCTGGCTTAGTGACCCCACTAACTTGAGCTTCTGTCTCCTTTGCAGGTGGCTATGAGCGGTTTTCCTCCGAGTATCCAGAATTCTGTTCCAAAACCAAGGCCCTGGCAGCCATCCCGCCCATCATGCCCCCCAGCACGGCCGAGTCCTTGGACCTGGGCTGCAGCTCCTGTGGGACCCCACTGCACGACCAGGTGTGCGGGGGCGCGGGGGGGCTTCTCTCCAGAGGCTCTGGGTGCAGAGCCTCCACTGCGGGGAGAGTGGTGAACCCCGATACTGGGATGGGATGTAAGGTAGTTTAGGAATACATTCCATTTATTCCTTGGAATGCTTGCTCTCCGCTCTCTTATTACCCTCACTGAAGAAAGCGGCGCGGAGCCAGAACTCCCTGCTTAGCCTCCAGCGTTCTGTGCAGACAAACGAGGAGGTGGCTGAAGCTGGAAGTGGTGTGACCTGCCCTGGGGGAGGGAGCGGCCTGTGGACCCCAGGCCCAGGCCGGGACAGTCGGGCTGTCTCCATTTACGGGTCAATCGTAAATGCCAAATGGACATGAATGGTCAGCAAACCCTGCCCCAAGAAAACCAGTGTAAGCCATTGCATTTCTTTAAACCCACCCCTTCCAGGACCTTCCAGTTAAATGGCGGGAGTGAACTTACGGAGTCCAGCAACTCTGCTCCCTAAACCCCAGATTTTGAAAATTGCCATTAATTTAAGCCAACGTTACCTAGTTTTGCCAAGAGGCCTCCTCCCATCTGTGAGGCCGACATGATATGTGTTCTTGATGTACCAACCAGATAAGTCCCTCAACTTACACCTGGTGACTAGCAGGTGTCAACTCTCAATGTCACAGCGGTGGGATAAGCCAGCACTGTGTCTGCCTCCTCATTCACCACGCAGGAGGCGGGCTGCTTGAGCGACGCCGCACCCCTCCTGGCCTCTCTGCAGAGGGCAGTGTCCCAGGGCGCCATCGCTTCCCTCAGGAGCCCCAGCAGGATGCGGGGACACCGAGGAGGGCTGTGTCCACAGGTGCTCTCCCCAGGGCCTGTGAAAGCCACCTCTCACTGTCCCAAGCACCCCAGCCTCTTCCTGGTTGCTCGACACTCACGCTGTCTGTTTCCCCTCTGGCACAGGGAGGCCCGGTGGAGATCCTGCCCTTCCTCTACCTCGGCAGTGCCTACCATGCCGCCCGGAGAGACATGCTGGACGCCCTGGGGATCACGGCCCTGCTGAACGTCTCCTCCGACTGCCCAAACCACTTCGAAGAACACTATCAGTACAAGTGCATCCCGGTGGAAGACAACCACAAGGCCGACATCAGCTCCTGGTTCATGGAAGCCATCGAGTACATTGGTAGGCTGGCCCTGGCTGCGGTCTGGGGCCAAGGCTGGGTGGGCGGGAGGCGAGGGACCACTTGCCCCTCGGGTAGGGAAGGAGGGATCTAGGGGGCGCTACTCACAGTGTACCCATTCCCTGCCCCCCGGCCACCCCCCCACCCCACGCCCCCTGCTCGTGGGAAGTCCTGCCTGTTGCATGTTGCAAATTTTGTTGGGCAGGGAGAGGAAGAGGGATCTTGCTCCCTGCCGTTGGCTTATGGAGCCAGTAATCTTTTGCTTGGGTGTCTCCAGGTGTCTAGATGGCAAGGCTCCTGGGATGGGGAGGAAGATAAAGAAAGGGAGAATTGGGTCATTGTTTTTCTTCCTGCAAGTGGAAATCCTTGCATTTGTGTTAGGGTGTAGCATGCGTTTTTTTCCTACCATAGTTTGGTTAAGTCTCAAAAACAGCCTAGCCTGGGTGGGATTCTGTAGCGCCTCCGCGTGGGGGGGCCCCCCTTCTTCCCTTCGGTGGGACTGCCCCGATCTCCAACACCTGTCCAATACCCTCCTCCCCCGGCCCCCAGGTCTGGCTGAGGCCGGCTGCCTTGGCGTTTGGGCAGAACGGGGCCTGCCGCGGGCGGGCGGGACACTGACGGAGCGCTCTCTGCCCCAGATGCGGTGAAGGAGTGCCGGGGCCGCGTGCTGGTGCACTGCCAGGCGGGCATCTCGCGCTCGGCCACCATCTGCCTGGCCTACCTGATGATGAAGAAGCGGGTGAGGCTGGAGGAGGCCTTCGAGTTCGTCAAGCAGCGGCGGAGCATCATCTCGCCCAACTTCAGCTTCATGGGGCAGCTGCTGCAGTTCGAGTCGCAGGTGCTGGCCACGTCCTGCGCAGCGGAGGCCGCCAGCCCGTCGGGGCCGCTGCGCGAGCGCGGCAAGGCCACCGCCACGCCCACCTCGCAGTTCGTCTTCAGCTTCCCGGTGTCGGTGGGCGTGCACGCGGCCCCCAGCAGCCTGCCCTACCTGCACAGCCCCATCACCACCTCCCCCAGCTGTTAGGGCCGCTCCGGGAACCCCCAAGCCGGGGCGTCAGCGACCCGACGGGTGGGGGCCGCGGGCCGGCAGCCAGTGGGGCACTGACCAGCCGGGGGCCGAAGACCCAGCCCCTTCCCATCCGCCTCTCCTCGGCCGACCACCAGGCCGCCAGAATGGCAATAAGGACTGTGAATACATATTAAAAACAAACAAAACCCTCCAACTTAGAGCAATAATGGCTGCCTCCACGGGCAGGGAAGACCTTGGTTTGGTTCATGTGTCGGTTTTACGTTTCAGATAGGAATTTCTTACCTCATTTTCTTAAAGCAGTAAGGCTTGAAGTTATGAAACCCACAGGTCCTGGCAAATGTGCCCACCCAGGCTTCTTAAGGGGGGTGGTGAGGGAGGGAGAGAAATAAGAAGAAAACGAGTTTGCCAGAAGTGCCTGGTTCTGTGTGCTTGGCCCTTTTTTTTGTCGTTGAGGCTACAGGATTTTTTTTTTTTTTTTAAGGAATCTTTGAGGACACGGTTTTCTAAGTCACAAACACGTGAATCATTATGCTTAATAATAAATAAAAGTATTTATTACGAAGTTCCACAGAGTATCTAAGTACGAGGGGTCTAGTGGCATGACTTCCGGATGTGTTTATGTTGATGTCGGTCATCGGAGCACAATGGCGAGCTGATGCCACAGCGGTGGCATTCAGTGGTACCCTTTGGTGTGGACAAGTTAGCCTGATGGTCTACTGGGACCTGTCACTGAGAAGCAGGCAGGGTTGGGGGAGAGGAGGAAGAAAGAGACCACTTTTTAATGACTTTTAACTAAGCTGGTTCCTGGGCAGGTGGTCACTGAATGATTTTAAACCACAACAACACAGCCTCTTCTCTCTGATGCTCACTAATTCAGTTTGGCGGTGGGAGCCTTTTCCTCATAGACCTGCCTGAGGACTTGCCCATCCTCTGTGACAAATGCCATATCAAATTAGGTGCTCCTGAAAAAATCGGGTGCCATTCAGATTTCCCTACAGTGAATCACTTGGTGAGGCCCTTGGGGAGCCCCACCAACCCACACACCGGGAAGGAATCCTTTTGTAGGTGGAAGCACCACCTTTTTCTTTGGCGTACATTGGAGTTTTTAATTTTAGGGGGTTTACTTGGCATGAAGTATAACCAACACATTCAGATGCCTGGTTTGAGGTGAATATTTGCAGAAGCCCTCTTTTGATAAAAAGGGGTGGGGGACCCCACACGCAGGTCTCCTGAAGTCTAGGCTGGCAGGAGCATTAGTGTGGCGTCCGGTTAGACCCTGTGCTCGGGAGCTGACTCCTGGGCTGCTGTGACAGGCATCAGGAGCACTCGGGTGTCCTTTTAGGATCCTTTCTTGGGATAATGCCATTTTAAGGGGCCTTCCCAATGGAGGAGTGGCTTTAGAGGGACAAGGATGTTTTCTGTGGGTGGGGCTGGGGGGAGGGAGATGGGAACAAGCTACATGTTGTTTCATTTGTAGTATTGTGGAAGTGTTGTTATGGAGTGCCAGATTAGAGGTAACTGCAAACTTGTCTAGAGATGAGAGCATGTTTGTTATTTTTAAAGCCCTTTGAGAGTCTAGATCTAAACATTCTTGTTCACACATAAAAAACTTCCAGCCTCAATGTCAGAATGGTGTTGCAATGCGCTTTCTCATCCTGGAGGTCCACATGGGACCTGGTTTGTTACATTTCCTTCCTTAAATGTGAACCTGTGTTGGCATTATCAGCCTTGCTTTTGTCAGGCCCCATCTTTGGGTGCTGCCGGAGCTCTCACATCCTATTTTTGAGAAAAGCCCGAGGCTTCCTCCTCTCCGGGGGCGGGGGGGGGGGCGGACGACACTTGGCTGAATAGTTAGAAGTGAGGGGCAAAGGGGTAGGGGTTCGTGGACAATGGAACTATTTAGAGACAGCACGGTTGGAGATTCCCACTTTTTCCTTGATTCCTGGCAGTCACTTCATGTTTTGTGACAAATGGGGTCCAGTAGGTTCTGCAGCTGAACAAGCTAGGGACCCCACAGTGGATAGGCCTGAGAGGAGGGGGCTGCTGGAGGGGGAAGGGAAAGTAGCCTGGAACAGATTCCCTTTTTCTAGAATGAGTATTCATTTGCCAAAACCTACGTCTCCTGCTTTCCCAGACTGGGTTCTTAGCCACACTTAGTCAGAGCTCAGGACCAGCCCCAGACAGGCCTCCCTGCTTCCCAATTCAGGTCTAGCACAACGTCAAACTGCTATTACAAAGCCATTTTCTGTGTGCCTGGTAACGGCCTAAATCTCAAAACTTAGAAATAAAACAGAAAAATTGGCTTGACTGGCAGTGGGGGTGTTTGGTTGTCACTGTCTCATGAGAAGCCACTTCGATGACTTGGAATAGCTCCAAAGAAGACTCAACCATGGGGTCAGTCCCAGGGGCTAGTGGGTTTCAGTAGACATCCCGCCCACAAAGTGATTTCCGGTGATGCGAAATTTCTGTAATGGCCAGAAAACATCGCCACTCCCACCAATTTTCAACTGTGCTGTCGGTGACAAAAGTCCATGGACTGTAACTCCTATAGAGACCAAGAAACGCTGCCAGTTCCCTTTCAGATTCTGTGTGGCCCACGGGCATTGGTGGCGCTCTTAAGGGAAATGGACTTGGCCCTCCCACGGAGCTGAGTTAGGCTGAGGTCACTGTGAGCAGGTGGCCAGGAGCTCCCAGCTTCAGTCATTCCCTCCTGAGGCCACCGACCTCGGGTGCTCCTTCCAGGTGGGTTCCAGGCAGCATTCCACGAGGTTGGGAAGTCGTGGAAAGTTTAAATCCTTGGGCAGATGGGACAGAGAGGTGGGACAGCTGATTCCAATGTGAGAAGGGGCTGGTCCATCTTAAAGCAATGGCTCACCTTGGCTGCCTACTTGCATCCCTTGGGGAGCTGAGAAAACCTGCTACCAAGCTATCCCAGACCGATTAAACCAGGACTTCTGGAAAGGGACACAGGCATCAGCCTGGGTCAAAGCCCTCCAAGCGCTCTCCAGGTGGAAGGTAACTGCAGGAAGCTGTTTTCAGGGTGGGGCAGGTGCTGTGGGGGGGGGGGGGGGGGGGGGCAAGGTGCCCTTGAAGGCTGGGTCTTACTCTCAGAACTAGCTTCTTTCTCAGAAACACCTCCAGCAGCTTTTCACTGGCTCATCCTGGCCTCCCTTTCAGTTCCAGCCCAGCTGGGGACAGGTGGTTTTTCTCAGGAGCTCAAGGAGCACATGACCTGAACGGGGCACCATATCATGCTCCCTGAAAGCTGATCAGGGGAGCAACGTTAGGGAACTGAGGACAGTGTCTGCATGTTGACGTTTTTCCTGGGAAGTCTTGTCTATTAAGAAGAATGGAGAGCTTTGCCTCTGAAGATACCCCTCCCCCCCGGAGCATAGGAGCAACCTGTCCTTCCTTAGAGTTTGAGTCAGAGCAGGAGGAGGCTGCTTCACGGCACAGCAGTGCGACCCTGGTAACTTCTGTAAATAGCCCCATCTTCCAGAGTGATGTCATTTCTACATTTGATATGCTTGTCTTTCTGTAGGATGTATATAGTGTAGGGGATTTTTTTGTTTGGTTTTGTTTTTTAGAAAGGTCAACATGTCTGTTTTTATTTATTGCTTGAAGAAAATCATTTGAGGAATAATAAATACATTTTCCACCACCTCTGGCTTGGTTTATTTATCTTTCTGTTGGAAATGATGCTGTGGTTGCTGACTTGGAAAGGGAGGAGAGATCTGGGCTGTTTGATAATTTTGTGCACTTAGTAATATCCATCGTGGAGGCTGCTGGTAAAGTTGGTGAGCCCAGTGTTGCTCTTGGAACAGTCCTCAAGGACGGTGGCCAGAGAAGGCCGATAGGAACCTGTAAGAATCTGACAGCTCCAGCGGAGAGGCCAACAGAAGAGCTGAATGAGCAGAGAAAGGGAGTGTCCTTCCTCTGAGAACCTGCTTCGTGCCCAGCACAGGATGGAGCGATAAGCGTGGCTCCTCAGTGGGAGGCATCGGTCTTAAACAGCCCACGCACAAGGGGTTAGGGCTGGGAGAGTGTAAGGGATTCCCGCACTGCTGGACAACAGCCACCTCCTTCCCACCCCCTGCCCTTCCATAACGTTCCCACGCTGGCTTTATATGTACTTTTGTTACTAAATTTACTAAAAAATCATGTCACTACTTTTTTTCCCCACTAAATTTACTAAAAATCACTGAACTGTGTACGCTTCAAAAGGATAAATTTGGTGTTATGTCAATTACACACCAAAGAACGCTTCGTGTATGAAAACAAAAAGTTCAAATAACACAAATACATGAGTCAAAAGGGGAAGTTCCTCCTCCATATCCCCACCTTCCATCCCACTTTTATCTTCAGTAACCAAAACGAACACTTGGTGTAATTACTTGCTCTTCATGCATCTTATACAGTGAGGTATTTGACAGGACACTCCTCGAGGCTTCAGCCAAGCCCTTCTTTCTCCCTTGGTGTCCCTGACACTCCTGCCCTCCCCTCAATTTGCTCGGCCATTTCCCCTTCCTTCCCAGTGGTAGGCGTGGCGCTGCTGGACCCAGAAACTGGAGAATCGCGTCCTCATCTCTTGAGTTGCAAAGGCGCAAAGCAACGTGCTGGAGTTGGGAAGGGGTGTTTGCTCAGTCAGGCCCTCCCGCCCCAGGCCATGGGGGAGCACCCACGTGGGTCCTCAGTGGCTCTTTCCTTCCCTGGCACAGTTCTGCTTCGCCCTTCTTAATGGCTGCAAAATATTTGATAATAGGGACCAGTTCTTTATTTCTAAACAGCATTAAATTTCACTTGACCACTGTTGACTTGGTTCTTGACCAAGTAGTTCATAGAAAGAAATGCATTGATTGTCCAACAAAATTTCAGTTCTTGAATCTGAGCCTGACGGCCCTTTCATGCTGATAGATGTATGATCAGTCATGCATCTCTCAGGTGACAAAGGAAATTTGGTTTTTGAACAAATCTCTTCTTGAACAGTTTTCTGTAAATAATTAAGTTCAAGAACGAAGGTTCTACTGTGGCATTGTAAGAAACTGCCAAACTGTCCCCCCAAGTGGCTGTACCACTTTGCACTTCCACCAGCAGCAATTGAGAGTTCCTGTCGCTCCACATCCTCACCAGCACTTGGTGTTGTCAGTCTTCCAGAGCCTGGCCATTCTAATAGGTGTTTAATGGCATCTCATAGGTTTAATTTGCAATTACCTAGTGACCTGATGTTAAACATCTTTTCATATGCTATTTGCCATGTGTTTATCTTCTTTGGTGAGGTGTTCGGGTTTAGGGCTGTTTTTTTACTCAGGTTCATTTTCCTAACACTGAGTTTTAAAGAGTTCTTTGTATATTTTGGATAGCAGTTCTCAATCAGATGTCTTTTGCAAGTATTTCCTCCCAGTATGTGGTTGCCTTCTTATCCTTTCCAGTGTCTTTCACAGAGTGGAAGTTTTAAACTTTAATGAAGTTTAGCTTGTCAACCTCTTTCTGCCATGGACCATGCCTTTGGTGTCGTAGTTTAAAGACACTGTGGTATGGGGTTTCCAGTTCCATGGGTAAGGAGCTTGCAAGTCGCCAATCTGTCTTAACGACATGTAAAAGGCTGAACAGATGCAGAACAGCTCTTCTAGGATATATAAGGGAGGTAAGGACACAGGGAAAACTACCGTCCGCCAGATTGGAAAGACTGACAGGTGAACACAGAACATGACCATTTACCAGAGATGAGACGCATGAGGGGAAACCACTGTGGGAACCAAGCCCAGGTGGGAAAACAAGACTATAATTAATGAATTGCTGGAGGCTCGGGGTGGACAGTTCTGGAGTTAAAAGCTCCAGGGGTACCCAGTCATAGGGGCCAGTATAATTTTGAGAGATTTACTTCCAGGAGCTCCAACAGGTTCCCACAGTAAACACTGGAGAAACATCTCCTTGTGCCTCTGGCCAGGGGAAGAGAAAGCCATTCTGGGCTATGCCAGAGCACTGCCTGTCTGGGAGGTCAGGGCCCACTCGGCCATACCCTTGGTTCCAATCCAGCAGGAGGCTCTATCTATTTAATTCTCATGGCAGCTCCAGGGAAGAGTTGGGATAACTGAGGCACAGGGAGGGTAAGGAACTTCCCGAGATCATGTGACTAGCAGGTGGCAGAGCCAGGCTACAAGCAGGCAGGTGGACAGCGGTGCTGGTCTTAATCCTATACAGTCTTTTGGGAAACTTGTCCACTAACCGGACCACCCAATCATCTACATGTCTTGTTACACTTCTATCTTCTTCTGAGGACCCCAATAGCATTGGATTTCTAACACCTTGAGCATCTTCCAAATATTCCTATTAAGTACCCGGCAGACAGTATTCCTTGATGGTAGGTATAAAAGTAGAGACGTACAGCCTTCATCGAATTTCCCAGGAGCTGTGAAGCGGTTCCGTGGGATGTGGCGCCACAGCTCCCTGGTAGCTTCGGCGCCCGCACACCTCCGGTGACTCACACCGGTGCACTGTATCACGCGCTCCTGATTCGGAAGCAGAGTTATGCAAGTGAAGATGAATAGACGTGGCAATCAATTTTGGGCCAGGAAAATTGTATGTCAATAACCCTATTAAAAAAATAGAAACGTTACCTACATCTCCTAGTCTTATCTACATATACTGTCTCACTTAAGCCGAGCTGTTTTATTAGCATGCTGACAGGTGGGAATCAGTCAAAATAGAGACATACACGCCTCCTTCCACTTGCTTCTCAGTCCAGGTCTTCAGGGGAGATGCCAACCCAGAAAACCTGGCAGCTAGGTCCCACCTTAATGGGAACAGATGGCTTTTTATTATTCCTAATGTAGTGCCATGTGCTCCTTCAGCTTGGAGGCCTATTGTACTGCCTGACAACTATAATCGCAAGGAAAAGTGAACTGTACCAAATGATAAAGGTTTTCAAGTCCTACACAACACAGCGGGCTGCCGCTAACCTGAGACCCTGGGTCACAACCACCAGGCACTCAATGTAGAAAATGTCATTAAAAAACAGTCCTTCAAAATTTGCTGCCCAGAAAAACACTACCCCTTTATAGTAATAGGAATTTAGTTCTCTGGGAAGCGATTTTCTTCAGAAAATAAATCCAATGCAGTAACCCCGCCTCCCACCAACCTGCACCCACACCCACTCCCGGTCCCTTCAGCCTGCCGCAGTTCCAGCTATAAAAGCAGGCCCTCGGAATCATTCTCATTCAGTAACCAAACCAAGCTGTGGAATTCTAAGTTATTTACTTTATATTCCACTTGCTTTTTACGCACAATTCCGATCATTTCTATTTTCTAACCCAGCAATAACCAAAGGGGAGCACCTGAGTCTGAAGGCATTTAGGGTCTGATCTCAGGAGACAGGGAGGACAGAAAGCCACGCACACACGTCACCTCGCTGTTTTCCTTCCTGCTAACGCACTCACACTCCACACACAGTCAGAGTTGGTGGTGCATTATGGGTCCGTGCCTTAGTCAGTACAAAGAATTCTGGGATATAAAACAAATGTTTTTACCACTTTGAGTGCCAGTTTCTTCAGCTGTAAAATGGGGATTAAAAAACCTACCTTGCAGGGTGTTGGGAAATGTACGCAAAGTACCTGGTTCATCTTATGGGCTCAGTGATAGCTATTGATATGTGCAGGGTTGTTACCAAGGACTTAATTTATGTCTTGTGGCAACTCTTGACAATCCCTCTGGCAAAGAAATTAGATAAAATCCTAGCTTCCAGTTTACTATGTAATCAATCACTAGGTAGGGAGAAAGGGGGAGAAAAAGAAACAATTTTCTCAGTCCTATGCACCAGGCACTGTGCTGGGCACTCAATGTTCACCGTCTCATGAGGTTCACCTCTCTCTCCTCCAGTGCGGCCGGTGGGGGGCTGCGGTCTGAGCCACAGGGGCTGGGCAGCGCCTCTGAGCAGCGCTGGTGACTGGGGTGGGTCGGCCTCCAAGGCCTGTGCCCCTTTGTTTCAGAGATTTTTCTTTTCTTAAAGATTTTATTTATTTTCTTTTTAGACGAGGGGAAGGGAGGGAGAAAGAGGACGAGAAACGTCCATGTGTGGTTGCCACTCACATGCCCTCTACTGGGGACCTGGCCTGCAACCTAGGCATGTGCCCTGACTGGGAATAGAACCAATGACCCTTTACGGTTTGCAGGCAGGCGCTCAACCCACTGAGCCACACCAGGCAGGACTCGGAGGTTTTTCTAACAGGAACCAGCGGCTCTCCTGCGACTGCTGAACTTCAGTAACCCCCACGTGGGCTTCGAGGTGAGGATAAGGCATTTCCCACACAGGTCACGCTAGATAGACAAGGGGGACAATTGTTATTTATATTCTGACAGTTTTAGGTCATTTAAGGTTGGCCAGGCTGAGATGAACACACGGAAATGAAAACACTTCACAGCTAAATGCTGTCCACATACAGTATACTTTAAAAATGTTTTTATTGAATATTAAACAATTACAAGTACTGTAAGTTAGACATTTAGCCAAAGCACAATTACAGGTTAAATATAATCATAAAGATGCCTTAAATAGGAGCCCACCGTGCAGGCAGGTTAAGTTCCTCGATGTCCTCTTTTGGAAAGTAGAGGGTGGTGGAGAAAAAGGTCTTCCATACCACAGGAAAGACAGTGAAGACGCAAAGAATTTACATGCTGTCAGCGATTTCCCATGACCGAACTGATAGGGTTGCCAGATTCAGTCAAATAAAATAAAACAAAGCAAAAAAGCCAGGATGCTCAGCCAAATTTGAAGTTCAAATAAATAGGAATTTTTTTATTGTAACTATATGGCAGGTAATGTACGAAACATGGTTAAGCTAGAAAACTAGTTATACCTAAAATTCAAATTTAACTGGGTGTCTTGTATTCTATCTGGCAATCCTACAAACAGACAAATGCAGAAAAGAAAAAGGAGGGGACTGAAACCTCCTGCCACTGGTGGGTCAAACAGAGACTAAAGTTTAAAAAAAAACCAAAACAACACTAATAATGAACCAGAGTCACCACACTGGTTACTACACAGACCAACAACACGTTGAAAAAGTACAAGGACTATGCCAAATGCTGTTGCTAGGAAACATTTTAGATTTCCTCCAAGCTGGTTTTGTAAATGTTTTTGAGAAACCTTGTTGATAAAAGTACCTTTTTAGTTTGTAGGTATCAAAGACAAACACTACTATCACAAAGACAGGATGAACTTGAAACAATGGAAGCAGAAGCAGGCATTATATATGCACAGGAAGAGTTTAAGTATTTTGTGTAATGAATACAAAGGTTATATAGTCAGGGTCTTCATCTTCTAGGTCTAGGCTATCGGCCTCGAAGACTTTGGTTGCTTTCTGATTTTTACTGTTGTGTTTTCTAGCTTTTTATCCTGCACCTTGGGAGGGGCACAGGGGTGTGTGTGTGAAAGGGACACCCCACTGTCAGAGTTTAACTGCATTTCTCTGCGAACACTTTTCAGGGGAGTCTGCAGAAATGGGCAGATAAAAACTAACAAAACAATCTGAATTGTGGAGAACAAGAAATTTGCCTGAAAAGATGGGTGGCAGGGTGGGTGTGGAGATGGGAAAGTGTAAAACAGAAACGAAAATGTGAAAGGATGAAGAGCCAAACTGTAATCCTCTCTGCAGCGTGAATGTTATTTCAAGGCAGGCGGCACGCTCCGGCAGACGCAGGAACTGTCGCGCCCGGAGCATGCTTCCTGCTGCTTTCCCCGATCACCATGGCTTATAGTTTCAAAAGATTAAAAAACAGCTTGTGCAACACTTAAATTATACAGGGTACCACTTGGTGAACTGTTGCTGCCTCCCCACATACACAAAACTTAACAGGCTTTAACATTTTTTCTAGCATTTCTCCTCCAAACCAGATGATCTGGTAGCTGGGGAATTTCAGACAGAGAGAAACTGGAGCAGGCTGATTAGATCTGCTCCTTGGCGCGTAAGGGAGCGAGGCTTAAGAAGTGCACCCCCATCAAAACAGCATGACAGGAAGTGCAGTACACAATGTTACACTGGCTCACTGACACCTTTCAAACACTAAGAAACGGAATTACAACTTATTAAGATATAAAAGGTGAAAAAGTTTCTGCCACAGTTAAGGCTCTCTTAAGAATATTTAATTGTCTATTAATTTCAGAATCCACAAAAGTGTCTGAAGAAGGCTCATCTTCCAGGGTGGTTTCTAAAAAAACGTATTTCCTTGTCATACGCTAGACATGTCCAACTGAAGCTCAAACATTATCTTCATAATTACTTTCTTTTCATTCCTCTGTTGCTGATTTGACATCAAACAAGCTTAGTTTTAGTCTTGAAATGAATTTCTGACACATGAAACTTTATATTAATGTCAGTTGTTAGTGTTCCCTGAATGACTAAAATCTTTTTCACTGTGCAAGATAATAGCCCAAAAGACACCTGGCACACCGCAAGCACTTTCGGTAAGAAGGCCGTTTATCACAGATTACCATGCACATGGGGTCTGGACACACTGGGGGAAAGGTGCTTAAAATACACACCATTTCCGTTTCAAAGGCAGTTTACAGAAATCCAGAGTGCATGGATTAAAAAGAGGGCAGGCAACATCGCCACTGTGCAATTAGGAGATGCACTGAGAGAGAAAAACCTAGACAGCTTATTGCATTCTAATGCTGTTCTTCCAGAGGACGCTGACATTTTTTTGTATAAAGGTTGTAATAACAGAACATTGATCTATGTTACTTTATTTGCCATATTCAGGTATTTACGTAAATCAATGCACTTTGCTATTGTTAGAGCAAAGGGAAACTAGTCTAGCCACCAACATGAAGCTCAAATGAGCACAAGGATGCTATTTTGTGAAAACATCCTAATATTGTTTATTCTACTCATTTTATTGAAAAGCTAAAAATTTCAAATTCCACAAAGAAAAAGGTAAGTAAAAATCCTGGTTGTACGGCTCTCATTTTTCACAGAATTCTAACTCTGGGTCCCATGCTGCCCTTGGCTGATGATGAGGCACAACTTTCCGAGCAGAGCATGGGGGGCCTCGTACCTGGTTCTGGTTGTGACACGGAAACAGGGACAAGATTCAAAATGAACAAAGGAGGAAAATGAGTGGGGTCAAAGGTAAATGTCAGAGCTAATTATGAGCCCAGGCTGGCAACCTGGGGAAACGGGAAGGAGGCCAAGTAGAAGGAGGAGAAAGCGTCCAGTCCAGAGCGCATAACTGACACCTGACTCAGGCCGGCAGGCCGGCCAATACCTAATAAACTGGGCCCATCCCGCCTGGAGCCTTGTGGTTGCAGTACTGAGGTGAGGCTGGGGGCCGTGTCCAGTGTCCCATTTGGTGTGGGGAACAGAGGGGCCAGTTCCGGGCAGGCCATACTGGAAGTCCTCAGCTTGCTTGTGTTTCTATATAGTACAAATACGAGAACTTACATGGATTTCTGCCTAATTCAATGCCATGCTTTTGCATTCCAGAGGGTTTTTCGCATTGCTATAGATGCAAATTCCAAACGTAATCAACTTTTGCTCATTTGAGTGCACTCATGATGACCTTTGGTTTTCAAGTTTTGGGTGAAAAGTTGTATTTGGCTCCTGTGAGATACCAATTAACCCATTTTCTTTAGCCGATGAATAATATGTACACACTCTCCCAAGAACTATTATATACTTGAATTATTACAAGACAAAAAGCACCGCAAGTGTCTTCCTCACACAGTACCTTTACTCGGCACACAGAACGCACGATACATAACGTTGGCAATTTCAATACTGAACCATGGTTTAACTTGTCAAGTGTAAGGCTGAAGTTTAAAACTGGCACATCCATGAATCTAGTTAGTAGGAGGGAAATGACACATGACCACAGTTGGGTAGTGGCTTTCGGTATCTATACTGTATTTACTCTTTCACTTAACTAAAAATCACAGCTGTGTTCACCATTTTAAACTATAGCTAAGTGGAGAGGCAAGTAACATACACTTTCACAGCTACTGAAAACTACACAGAATGTTGATGCCTTCAGCCCAGTATTACACACAGCAAAACAGGAGGAAAGGAGAAAAGCCCTCTTAGTGAACATCAAACTTCAAAGCTTCATGTGGAAGCCTGGTGCTATTAAACGAGCAGCCAAGACAAAAACACCCAGCTCAGTCCACTAAAACTGCAATAGAAGCGAAAACGAAGGCTAGTTCTTGATTTAATTTTGAGGACCCATGCAAGATTCAGCTATGAAACTCAATCTAGTTCCCAATGCCTAGATCTAGCAATGGACTCAAGCCAGAAAGAAAGCAAAATGTATTATTTTAAGAGCCTATTATAGAATTTTTGCAGATAACTATTTTATTTTTATTTAGGCGATTAAATGAAGTCACAGCTTAATCAGCCTGTATTAAAAACACTTTAGTTTTCAGGACTTTAAGTTGAAATGCCAAGTCTGTGCCACACTGGTTTTCTTTTTATACACTACATATTACTTTTGCTTCAAAGCTGAGTAGGTGCGCAGCATGTCCAAGTAAATCAACGCACTCAATTTGACATTCAGTTAAGATGAAAAGGGCAAGCGTGAGAACTGTAATGGGTAATGTTTTACAGGTATTGATGTGCACTTGGCAAATGTTGATTAAAATGAGCAAAACAAAGTAGTAATTTCAGAAGTAACAGTAAAGTATTTCTCCCCCTTCATTTAAAAAAGTAACTGAAAGAGCTTTGGTTTCAAGTTTTTGTTCTCCTTGTCTATTACACTGTTTGAAGAAAGGGTTCAAAAATTCAGTGCAGGGACCTCCATAAACTATTTGAAGCACCTCACTCAAAATAAACCCCGAATCTGGAGTAAACAGGAAAGTTCTTGCATTTGTGCCTATCCATCTACTAAACAGGATTCAAAGCCTAGCTTTCTAACCTAAACGAGAGAGTAAAATTTTTGTGACTTCAATGAAGTACACTAATTTGACTGAATTTGGAAATAAGGCAGCTAATTTGGGGGGCGACAATTCTGGCGGGGCGGATCACGGAAGAGAATTTTGTCCTGTGAGGAGTCCCCGCGGTCCTTTTCCGCCGCAACAGGCCAGACCCACAGGCCCCTCGCACGTGCTGCGCGGCTTCTCCTGCGCGGCCCTCCCTCGTGGTCTCCCCTCTGAGCCTGACGACAGCGTCACTCAAACCTCTCCCTGCCTGTGCTCCTCTGGGCTCCGGCGCCCCGTCCACCTCGGCCCAGGCTTGTGTTGGAGAGAGCAGGGGGCCCTCACCGACCCGCCTTCTCTGACCGTGAGAGCTCCTAAGTCAGGTTGATGTCTGTGCCTTTCCCTTGTAAGACTGGCCAATTAATAAAAGGACGGAAACTTGACGTGTTTTCTTTTCATCTCAATTTATGTGTTTAAGAGGTACAGATATAAAATAAATCAAAGTGAAAAAAAGGTGGAAACTAGTGTTCCTCAGCCAGAAGCTTGGGCTGCATTGCTACTGATTTTAGTCAGTGTGACTTTGTGTAAAGTATCCTCAAGAAGGCTCTCTGGCTCATTATCAAAGAACAAAAAAGCCAATGACGCATGTTTAGAAAAAACTAAAAATGAGCTGGCGTATGCATACTTGTTATACACATGTGCCATATATATAACAAAGCAAAGCAAATGTAGTGTGTAAATTGTGAACATTTGGGAAAGTATTGGTTGTTTTCTTTGTCTCCATTTCCAAGTCTAGATCAAAGCAATCTTAATTTAGAAATGGATAATTGCAATGAAAGTGAGCCTGAGATATATTAAAAGGCCGCCCCTGTAAACATTTCCTCAACGGGAACAGCAGCAGTTGAGTATGTATCAGTTACTCATACTATATTCATCACTATCGCAATGCTTCATAAGACAAACAGCTTATTCTAGGCTGTCAGGGATTGATAGAATATTGACTTTGTTGGAAACAATCCATTACAATCCAGTCCCAGTTTAGATCCGATCTGGCCTGCACCAGTGGGCATTCACTAGGTCTTCTGCTCCGCAGCCGTGGCAGTCTGTGATGGAGCCTCGGGCTTCATGATCTGGTAGGTGATGAGATACTCCGGGTAGGCCTGCAGGCGACAGGAAGAGAAACGGTGACCCTCCCAGCAGTGACGGCAGTAAAGCCTCACGCCCCGTGGAGGCTTCAGAGGCTGCTGCTTCTAACTAATGTTCTACTCTGGCATATAAATGTACTAACACTGATGAAATCACTTCTTTTTTTGATTATATTAATACAAATTTCTAGAAGGGGAATTACTGAGTCAAAATAAAAGCATTTTCCCTAGAAGTCTGGAGTTTCTAACTTAAAAATTTGACAAATTTATTAAACTTTTTATTTGGAAGCAACTGCATGCTCACACATTAAGTTGCAAAAATGAAAGCTGTACCCAAAACACCTGTATACTCTTTACGCACATACACCTAGTGTTAAGATCCTGTTTATTCCATTTGCTTTATTATGTTTGCTCCCCCCACCTCTGCATGTGCCAGGCAGACAGACAGACACACAGACATTTTTTTCTGAACCATTTGAGAGTAAGTTGTGTGTGTGCGCGCGCGCGCATGTATCTCTTGTCATGGTTCTTTATCCCCATATATGCCAGTAATTATTCCCTAAGAATACAGATACTCTCTTACAAAAGCACAGTCAACCATATAATTTTATACTGACAGACTTTTATCTAAGCACCATTCACATTCCAACTTTGTCCGGTGATCTAATAATGTCCATTCTCTTCTAGTACCAGATCCAATTTGGGGACAGTGCATTTAAAGTCAGTTGTCCTATCTCTTGGGTTTCGTTTAATCTGGAAAGTTTTCAAAGCCTTTGTCTTTTATAACAATGACATTTTGAACAATCCAGTCTTCCCACATTTTTAATGAACAGAACGCTTCTCATTTTGATTAGACTGAGGCCATGCATTTTTCAGCTGGAGTGCTGCGCAGAAACCGTGCCTGTTGCAGAGCAGCGCGCTGGAGGCATATTCTATGTTTGCCTGCTCTTCATGGTGATGCTAATCCTGACCATCTGATCAGGTATTGCTCCCCCTTCTGCAGTGTGTGATCGCTGGGATTCTTCCTCCTTTCTAACTAGTAAGAAAACCATGCAAATATCCTTTTCTTTGTGAAAAGCATCCCCTCAGCATCCACTAATCATTCTTGCCTGATGCAATTTTTACAATGGTTGCAAGATGATTTCCCAAATCCAGTGCTCCCTCCACATCTACCCACCTGCTCTTGGCTTCCTACTTTAAGCAGAAGCCTCCTCTTCCCTTCACCTACTTATCTAGTTGTTATCAGAATCATGAATTCCTTTTGTTTCAATGGTTTAAAATTTATTATTGCACTTATTTGGTGTTCAACTTGTCCCAGACTTGGCCAGTGGAGTCCCTTCCAGCTGGCTCAGGGTCCTTGTTACATGTCCCCAACTTTTCTATTCTTTTTTTTTTTGAGTACTTCATTACCTTTTTGCATTCTAGATGTTTCAGGCTTACCTTGTGCCTATTCTGCTCCAACCCTGGAATTAGCTGTTTTTCCAAAAAGCCTGGGACCCTTCCAGTGGGGAATGGTATTAGAGACCAAGATCTGAGCTCTAGAGGTGCTCACTGCTACTGGAGATTCTTTACTTTCAGCAAATTCATGCACAAACACTCACAACATATACATATGCTTATATTACTCTTACACATAAACCTGTATATACACACATGTGTGCACATACAGAAACCATGAGCTCCTACCAACACCTCCTATTTCAGTCCATCCCTGAAGTGCCACCCTCTCTCTCCCATTCCATATTTGTTTGTCCCTTCTTCAACAGTGAAAACTCCAGCTCCCCAAATCAACACACTGACTCATTTGCTCAATCCTATGATACACCTAGAAGAGGTTCATTGCTTTGCCCGTACCGCCACGATCAACACATCTACTACCAGAGGTGCCCAACCTGTGGCTTGCGGGTCACATGCAGCCCAGGATGGCTGGGAATGTGGCCCAACACAAAACTGTAAATTTACTTAAAACACTGAGTTTTTTTGTGATTACATGTCGTAATGTATTTAATGTGTGGCCCAGAGACACCAAAAGATTGGACACCTCAGAACTCAGGATTTGTTTCCAATTCTTCCCCCTAACACCGCACTCCATCTGGCCAAAGACTAAGGGAATACAATAAAATACTGTTTTCATAGGTTACCTGTATTTAGTAAATTTATTTCTCCTTTTTACCTCTTCACTGCCAGTAAAGTTAAGTAACCATTTAAAATTCAATTAAGTTCAGACAAATCAAATTTTGTTCTTAGAAAAATTGGTAGTATTCAGTAGTATTGTGAAAATTAAGTATTGGATTGAAAAGGATGGAAAGTTTTCCTGCTTGCTGACAATTTTATTTTGGAGCCTCAAGCTATTGGCAGAATTTAATGTAGTGTAGCTTTATGACTCTGAAAGCTATCATCTATGTAGTACCATGATCAGAAGTACAGACGGTCCCTGACCTATGATGATTAGACTTAGGATTTTTTGACTTTACAATGGCACAAAAGTGATACACACCAGTAGAAACTGGACTCTGAATTTTGACCTTTCCCAGGCTGCTGACACGTGGCGCAGTGCGCTCTTGTGGTGCTGGACAGAGGCGGCTGTGGCCTCCGGCCATCCTCGCGATCATGAGGGGAAACGACCTCATTCTGCAGCGTGCTGTATTGCCAGTGGTTTTCGGATATTGTTTTCGCATGCGTCACATCTACAGAACACATGCCTGTGTGCCCGTGTGTTCTCAGTTGTGTACATAATGGTGAGTTTAACCACTCTGCTTTTCACTTTCAGTGCAGTGTTCAATAAATTACACGAAATATTTCAATACCTCACTATAAGATAGGTTTTGTGTTGGGTGATTTTGCCTAACCGTGGGCTGATGTAAGTCTTGCGAGCACATTTAGGACAGGCTAGGCTGCCCCGGCGGGTGTGGCTCAGTGGACTGCGTGCTGGCCCGTGAAGTCAAAGGCTGCTGCTTTCATTCCTGGCCAGGGCACGTGCCTGGGTTGCAGGCCAGGTCCCCAGGTGGGGCCGTGCAGCCAGTCGATGTTTCTCTCCCTCTCTTTACCCTTCTTCCCTTCTCTCTAAAAATAAATACATACAATCTTTAAAAAAGGGGATAACTAGGCTGAGCTACAATGTTCAGTAGGGTGTGTGTACTAAATGTATTTTTGACATAGTATTTTCAACTTATGATGGGTTTATTGGGATGTAACCCCATTGTAAGGCGAGAAGCACCTGCAGAGATTCACTCACATGAACCGCTTGTGGCAAGTACGTCCACAAAGAAATTCCATTCAATGGCAGCTGCTCTTAGCTCTCCACTGCCATGTTGGGGCATGAAGGACACAGAGCATTAGTGCAGAGTCGCAGGCCTTAAGAACAGCATGAGGTCCCATGCCTTTACTTCTTAGATGCCCTCTTATTTACACTGTGTTACTTGGCTGACATGACTGATGGGTTCTGTGTGTAAAGCTGACGTCAAAGAATTTTGATATCTTTATTTTGACCTGAAGTAACTGATACTATCAGACTATGCAGCAGATATCTTATCAAATGGTTTTCTTTAACTCTTAGGTGGTCTCCATATTCTGCACAGTCATATTTAGCAACTCTGTGTGTTTATCCGATGAGCAACATACCTGTTCTCCCCTGTAGATGACGTATTCGGCGTACGCCAGCCCATTCACACTTGGTCTCCCAATAACCGAGTGATGTCCTGGAGGGGCATGAGCCATTTTCATGGTGCTGAATTGCAGAAAGGATTTTCCAAGGGTCACTCTACAGAAAAGCATTTGTCTAAAGGAAAGAGAAAAGCACTATTTTGAAGGAAGCTTTAAATCTTGAAAGGATATAACTGTTAGGTTTATTGGTTTAAAAAAAGCTTAACACAAGGCAGGTTAATTTAAATGTCCCTTTCATATTTATAAGCAGGAATGGGATGAGATTTCATATACTGATTTATCATAAATAGTAGGCTCAATAGTTACCCTTGAAGTTTAAAGTAGTTTTGGTGTAGCTAAGGAATCGATCACGAAAAGTACCTAGTCTGTTTTGACTAGTGGAAAAAGAAAAGTACTAGTGAAAACCGAGTTCTTGCAGGGAAAGATAGGAATAAAGTGAAGAAAATGAGCAAATGGCAGCAGCATCTGAAATTACAATTTGATTTTACTCATTATAAATTAGTAAAAAACTGGGATGAGAAAAATAACATTAAGAGTGGATCATATAAGCTTAAACATACGCCTAAAAATGACACTACCTGGGTGAAATGTGAGCTGGGGGCGGATATTAAACATTACAGAGAAGAAAAAAGGTTGCGAGGGGAGAAATTATGCTAAATAAACTAGAGGTTAGCAAACTACGGCCTATGGGCCAAATCTGGTCGGCTGCCTGTTTCTGTTAATAACATTTAAGTGGAACATGGCCACTAATTTACATATTGTCTGTGGTTGCTCTTGCACTGTAAGGGCAGAGTGGAGTCATTATGACAGAGAGCGTATGGCTTGCAGAGCCTAATATATACTGTGGTCCTTTAAAGTTTGCCAACACAATAGAAACAATAAACATTTAAACTATACAGTAAGGCTGGTCACGCCGTTAAAGGTAAGTAATTATTATTCAAATAGTTTGTTTCTAGTAATGGAATATGATTAATCAGAGATACTACTGTCACTCAACTGAAAATTGTGCCACACCCAGTAGAACTGGGTCCTGACTGAGCTGGCTGGGCTCGGTGTGGGGCTACTGGCCCTCTGGGTGGCCGGCCAGGCTCGGTGTGGGGCTACTGGCCCTCTGGGTGGCCGGCCGGGCTCGGTGTGGGGCTCCTGGGCCTCTGGGTGGCCGGCCGGGCTCGGTGTGGGGCTACTGGCCCTCTGGGTGGCCGGCCGGGCTCGGTGTGGGGCTCCTGGGCCTCTGGGTGGCCGGCCGGGCTCGATGTGGGACTACTGGCCCTCTGGGTGGCTGGCTGGGTGGCAGCCGTAATCTCTTCTCAGACCCAGAGGAGAGGGTTTTGTTTGACACGAGAGGGAGGTTTTCTGAGCTCCATCCCCACATTGTGGCAGCACTGTGGTGTCACTGGACTCTGCCTGCTCAGCCGGCTGGGCCTAGTGCCGCAGCCACTCCCAGTCCGTGTCACACAAAGCTTGACCAGACAGGCCATGCCTCCTGCATCTGCTTCCTTCCCCAGGGCTTCGCGGTGGCTGCGGAGGCGGGAGGAGCAGCAGGACGGCCCAGCGGCCCACGAGGCCACAGGTCCTCATGCCCAGGTGGAGAGCACTGGCTCCTGCCTTGCCCTGCGCATCGCCATGCAGTCCTCGGATGCAGCAACCCAATGTGCCGGGGCGCTCGGGGTGCCGGGGGAGAGGTACTAACGGCCGGCGGGGCAAATGCTGACCAGTGCAAGACAGGAACCAGCAGATAAACCCATCTCCCTCCTCCCACCATATGTTGCTGGGAGATGTATTACTCCAGACAGCTTCCCTGAAGATGTCTCATGGACCGAGTAGCCAACTGTGCTTGCTCGGAAACTGGTCAGCTGCTGCTGACCCGCAGTCTGTTCTGCCACCTTCTGACTTCACTTCGTTTTGTGCCCTCACTCCTGCCTCCCTGGGGTTGCACTTGCCAAGACAGTGCCAGGATCTAAGCTTTGGCTTCCGGCTCTGTTTTCTAGAGAATCCTGGCTAAGACATAAAACTGCATTTTTAATTTTAATAAGCAACTTTTTATCTTCATCTAGGTTCACTTTTATTGCTTATTTCCATTCATTTTGTTTTCAGAGGAATTAGGTTTGAAGCAACAAAGAAAAACTTTTGCATATTACATATTTCTGGGAATTTTGGTGTGTTACTAACCACAGCAGACTTAAAATTCCCGTCTGGACATACGGCATCCATCTTAGAACTGCTGATGGCTACAATTTGTTACAGTATCGCTGAGAGCAGTAAGTTTCAAGTCAATTATTATGAATTTTAAGGTTATATAGGTCTTCTTGATATTTTAACTGAATCACAAAATTTCTTATTAACCCAACTTTGCAAAAATAACATATTTGGTTAATTTAAAGAGAAATGTAATGAGCTGCAATCTTTGTAAAATATAATTTTTTGTATTTTTTTCTATTGGCAGGAAATGGAATAGGGAAGGGAATTTTCACTTCAGAGAGAGTATATTATTATTCTCTTCAACTTTCGAGTTTTAAAACCCTACTTAAAAAGCTAATATTCACTTGTTTAATAATTCCAAAGTTAATATTCCAAAATTGGACTTTTTATAGGCAATTATATATCCTGCCTTAAAATATCACAAGCAATATCAAGCACATTAAAGATGCAACTCGTTTCTTAAAAACTTGTAAAAAAATTTTATTTATTTTTAGAGAGAGGAGAAGGGAAGAAGAAAGAGAAAGAGAGAAACATTGATGTGTGAAGAAACATCAATTGGCTGCCTCTCGTGCACCCCCAACTAGGGACCTGGCCCACAACCTGGGCACGCGACCTCACCAGGAATTGAACTGTGACCTTATAGAAGATACGTGTCTTAGTACCAATGTGACTCTCAAGACAGACAGGGCTCCCTCTTCTAAAGAAGTAATTCTCACCCCTCTCGTACCCATTCAGAAGCAGGAAACATGAAGCCCAGGGAAAAAGCCAAAATGGAGGGAGTTGCATTGCAATCTATGATTGGTACACCGAGCATTTATCACCACTAACACCAGCCCCACCAGAGCGCACGCTGATAAGCTATTCCCACCCAACCCCCAACGTCCTGACTCCTCAGGATTAGGACGGGATAACTTCTGCACAGCCTAAGAAACACACCTGGTTGGGACCTGAGCACAGCAACTGTAACACAGGGGCCAGGGTGCTCACCTGTGGCATATGTAACATGACCGATCTTTGTGTGTGGGGCAGCCTGTTCCTCCTCCAATCCCATAAACATACTGGTTGCTTTTAGAGGAGTTTTCAGCAAAATAAATACCAGCACCAAACATTCCTCCTATGTATGCATGGCGCTCATCAAACCCTTTATGAATGATGGCATTAATGAAAGGAGAACCTAAAAATATAAAGATAGAAAAATTAGTTTTTGAACACTTTTCTAGAATATCAATTAGCTACATACTATTTGCACTTGGCAGATTGATATTAAGTAATTAATAATACATAACTTAAAAATGTATTTTGCCAGATGTCTACTATACATAAATTATCATGTACTAGAACCTTATCAAGGACCTGTAGCACTCACCAAGGCAGGATGTTATTTTGCAGATGGCATGAGATTTTAGATAGCAAAGTACAATGTGGCTTTGAAAAATACAGATTATTTTATACCCAATCTTACTTTAAGCAAGTACAGATAATCTGATAAACTAAAACAATTATGCTAAACAATGAAAATGAGCAACGAAATAAAAACATTTCATTCTCTATATGGCTCACATTGCAATTTAAGTTCTGAAAAAATTTCAGACAATTTGTTTTCATTGTATATGCCTTGAAGTGTACAAGCATGTAATGCATTAGAAGGCTGGTACCAGCATGTAATTATTTGGGAAAAAATCAAAACGGACCATTTTGAACGTAACACTATCACAGTCAGTAACACGGGCCTTGCGTGCTGCTGGGCCCTGCAGCCCAGAGACGTCCGGGGCTGCGGGCGGGACGCTCACCGTGAAACAACATGCGCTCGTTGTGATGGTTATGATTCTCTTCAGACACTTCCTTCTGTCTGTGACAGAACCGTTCCCTCAACTTCTTGTTGACAACTTTTTGAATCTTTAAGGAAGAGGAAGAAAAAAGCAACTGAGTGTAATGTATGTTAACTGGTAATTATGATTTAAAATGGAAAGTATGTTTTCCTGGAGGAAGGTCCCATTTTTGTATTTAAAAATGATAAAGTGGCCAGGTCAGTGCAATTCAGCTAAACTCTGGCCTTCGGTGGCATGATTTCCAGGTATGCTTTTTGTTTGTTCTTCTGCACTAGGCCTGGCTACATACGTCAGAGTTACCTGAGGAGTTAAAATAGAAAAAAGATGAAGAAGGTCATTCCTAGATTCTTCCCCAGACTTACTGACTTTAGAACGTAGGGCTGTAAATCTGTGGTTTGCTGCAGGCCCCCTGGGCTACTCTGATGTGCACTGGTGTAACTCCCACCTGTCCACTAACCCAAGGGTTAAATCAGTTCTCAACAGACTGCATTCGTCTTCACGGTATCCTTTGGAAAGAAAGCATATAGCGGTCTTCTATCCCATATTACTGATTAAGGTACTGAGATGAAGAAATACGTGCACTCTGATACAATCGCTGACTCAGTTAGATGGAAAACTCCAGGCCTTTAATGCTACCTTGAAATGGTGATAATACAAACAGCCATCAGTTGTTGTCTGAATTTATGGATGAGTCGGGAGTCTCATCGCTGTGTCTGCATTGCCAATACCCGCGACCTAGCCGCCCGCTGGCAGCTTTGGTGTTTCCTGGGCGTCTCTACTTCTAGTGAAGTATGGTCTCGGGGGAATAAAGATTATATGGTAGTGGAGGGGGTGACACCTGACTGCCGTGCCAGGTGAATGCTCATCCATGAGTTTGAAAATAGGGCTTTAAAAAACAGCTTTTCACTGTTTACAGTTGATTTTCAGGAAGGCTTGCAATCTAATTTCTGTTCTAAAAACTTACTCGAATGACATTATATCTGTTGAAGATACCGCCGGCATTACCACCATCTCTGTGCTCTCGAATTGTACTTTGCATCTGCAGAATAAAATGAAGTAAAATAAAATGAAGTAAATTAGCTTTCTGAAAATACGCAAGTGTATAATTCTAAAGATACTTCTTCCATTGTTTTCAACATTTCAATTCTATCACATTGTTTCACTGATGAGTCTAAGATTTAGCACTTTATAAACAAATACAAGTCTACTATAAATTGATCAAGAAGTTTAGCAGATATTTCTGGTGAGAAAATAGTGATAAACATAAATATTAACCATCTGCATTTTCTTTCTATTTCCTAATAAGAGCCTGGAAAGAGTTTGTAAACACAATGAAGAAGCATAACATATCACATTAAGTTATCTACATTACTATTTTATGTTATTGAGAATGGGGGCAACATTGTGACTAAGCCAAACTAAAACTTTTTGTATTCAATTAATACCCCACTGGACAAATGCTAAAAACAAACAAAAATTTTAAAAAATCAATAATTTTTTTCCCCTGAGGTGAAATACTTCATGTTATCTTCTTAATTTGGGAACTCCAAGTACATCTACACAGACCAGGAATAACTTTCTTCTTCTACTTTCCAAATTAAAAAGAATTATTACAGAAAAGTAAAATGTTCTGAAGACCTAAGTTTCTCATAGAATTGAATCTAAGAGTCAATTCTCTACCACTCCATTATGAAGTTACTCACCACATTTTGATATTATTATCAGAATGTACTAACTACTAGTAGATTAGGCAATAAGGCACTAGAAAACATGATGCTTTCTTGAAAAACTGGCAAAGTATGAGCTACAGTACTACCCTAAGGTAATTGTTCTGAGTTTCCAGAATGGGAATAATATGAACACTAATTAAAAATGAACAAAAATGCAGGCATGCTTTTCTACACAGAATAATGCCACTTGGCCACTTTGTTTATTATGTGTCGGAAGAGAGGCAGAAGCCATGAGTAGAGGGGGCACCTGGACAGCATCTGTCTACCAGGAGGTTCGTACCATTCGCTATGGTGCTTTAAAATCATTGTGACTGGAGAAATGAAAGGTGACTCAAGTTCTGAAGCATACTTTCTAAGCATATGTAAAAATCAGGCCTATTATTTTATAATCATGGTTTATAATGCTGCACAGAAATCAAGATGAGACTGTATTTGCTCTCTATCTATGAGGCAAGGTTCTCACTCCATAGCATTCTTAGGTAGCATTTTAGCAATATAAAAAAATAATTCTAGAAGGGTCGTTACTTGTATGAGTTTCGAGAATGTCTCCAGAATAAAAAGGCAGATCTGAACCATCCACTGGGAAACCTTATGTTTCCGATGTGAAAGCCATGTGGCAAAGTTCTAATCCACAATCCTATTTTAATTTTGGCAATATTCCACCACACTGGTTAAGGGAGATAGAGTAATACATAGGCAAGTGACTGTAAGCCAAAGTAAGACAAGCTTACCTCTCCTGGAAAATAAGTTTAGCCATGGATTTCAGGAAAAGATAACTAAAAACTATGTACATTACCTCTTCTTCTACTGACTGATACTCCTTATCTTCTGGAGCAAGATCCAACAAAATAGTTCCCTGATTAACACAGTGAAAAGTCAAATAAGGGTTGGTTCCTGTAGAAAAAAAAATTAACATAGTTAACAGAAGTCTACTAATCAGGCTCTATTTTAGGGAAAGCTTTGTCACAAATAATTGATATTTTGGAACAAGTCTAAACTACTTGCGATTTGAACCTAATATTTAAAGTTATATAAACAAGGACATCCAAAGACATGTGAATGGAAGTGTGTTTGGGGATTGATTTTATTGGTTCTTAAAGAGTTCCTTGTATATACAGCAGGGCTCAACAATTATTTGTTCAACTAAATTTAACCATGAATGCTTTTATAGCTATGTTTGATACAAAAGAAACACACTGTAATTACAATGTAGTCAGGTTTAAATTTTAAGGATTATCCTTTTCTAAAATCTCTGTGAGATGGCTTGAAATGTTCATGTGATATGTTTAAAATATACTATTCTTGTTAATTTCATTATCCTTGTGCATTTAATCCAGATAAATAAGATTCAAGCTTGAAACGTGCTAATGTTTAGTTTCATGTCACTCTTGCAATTTATTAGCTCTGCACACTAATCAACTAATTTAAGTTGTTTCTTTTCTCTCCTCTTCCTTTTCTACAGTAAAAGCACTTCTATGGTGGACCTTGGAAAACATTGTGCTAAGTGAAATAAGCCAGTCACAGAAAGACAAATACTGTATGTTTCACTCATATGTGGAATACAATGAACAAACTGAACTAACAAAATAGAGACAGACTCGAGAGCGGATGACAGCTATGGTGAGGGAGGTGGGGGGTGGAAGGATTGAGCAAAAAGGAGAAAGGACTCATGGACACGGACAACAGTGTAATGACAGCAGCGGGAGGGAGATATAAGGGGAATAAATGATAATGGAAAAAATACAATAAAAAATAAATTAAAACAAACCAAAAAAAAAAAAACAAATAGAGAAATGATAAACACAGAAACATACAAGATATGTTTGGAAAAACTCCAGCCATTGTTTATATGAGAATAGTTTATGTGACATTGATGTACCTGGCAGCCAAGGAGAGTGGACTGGAACATGCATGCACGAATAATGACAACTTCACTGTACTAGTCAGTGGGGGCCGTGGGGGCTGTTGAGTGAGCACGTGTACTGTGTGACCATTGCATTCAAAATGACTGGGCAAGTACAGCAATGAATCTGCGTCAAATTTTGCATGAAGCTTGAATATTCCTCTGTGGAAACTATTCCAATGATTCAGAAGGCCGCAGCTACGGGCAACTGGTGATTGGCAGCTTCATTGTGACAACATGCCCACTTGTGCATCACATCTCATGCAGTTTTCTGGTTAAACATCATATCCCCCAGGTGACTCAGCCCTCCTATAGGCCTGATTTGGCACCCTGTGACTTCTGTTTTTTTCCCCAAACTATAACCATCTTTGAAAGTGAAGAGATTTCAGACCATAGATGAGATTTAGGAAAATACAATGGGCAGTTGATGGGGACTGGGAGTAGTGTGTGAGGTCCCAAGGTGCCTACTTTGAAGGGGACTGAGGGGTCATTGTCCTAGGTACAGTGTTTCTTGTATCTTGTACCTTCTTTAATAAATGTCTCTATTTTTCACAGCGCATGGCTGGATACCTTCTGGACAGACCTCGTACAAAGGAGATAGGGTTGTAACAACAAAGTATGATGGCAGAAGACTAAGCTGATAGGTGTAAGGGAAGGAGAGGGGTTCAAGATGAGTAAGAGAGAAAGGTCAGATTACAAAAAGCCACGCTGTGAATGTCTGATTTTATCCTAAAAGCAAGAGGATCCTATGGAAGGGTTTTAAGCAATGAAATGATACTGAAAGGAGCCTCTGGTTATAGTGTAGGGAAGGTGCTGAGAGGGAGGCAAAGGTGAACGTCGAAGATAAGCTGGAAGGCAATTGTGACATTCCAGAGATATTTAAGGTATAAAATGTGGGGAGAGAGGCAAAAATGGCTCAATTCCAGCTACAGCAATCAGAGGGAGAGTGATGCCCGTCAGGTGGGATGGGGAAGGCAGGCACTGCCACGCGGGCCGGGGACGCGAGCCCCAGGGTCAGAGCACCTGAGGTCAGAAGCCAGCCCTGATGCTTATCTGGTACCACTAATACCTGAAATTGATTTTTTCTGAATAGCTTACCTTGTTGTCCACCTAAGAGTCTTTCCACTCCTTTGATTAGTTTATGGCGGTGTCCATATGCATTGATGCCTATTTCTTTCAACTCTTCATGACCCATATCAGCCAGTACATCTAGCGTAATCTGAAAAGTGAAACAAAATTAATTGCTAAATCTTTAAGTTCCTCAGATGATGAAAGTGATGAAAACTCTTCCATTTGTCTTCAATGGAAAATATGCATCCATTCAAATTAAGAAAAATTCTTGTTTCCATTATAAGCATGAACTTAAAAACTTCTTAAAGTTGTCTTGATAACTTTATCAGCTTTTTGCTCACTTTAAATACTCCTTAATTGCTTTTAGTCAATGGAGAATTAAAAACAGGAGACATAATGCTATAGAAATATAAAATCATCATCGCTGTATTTCCTTTTGATTATTTAACTCTACCACCCTTTGTTTGCCTCAAAATATAAGAGGGAACAACCAGCAGGCCTGAAAGTGGGGAAATACCAGATCCCAGTACCCAGCAGGTGGCAAACGTGAATAGTAGGTAAAGGCAGAGGTGGTGTATAGCCCAAAAAAACAGAATGTGGCAAAAGGAGTAAGCATATTCAGGTAATGAGGATTTACAAGAAAGTAAGGAGGAGCTTCTCAGAGCTAAGAAATATTCAAGCACGAAAAAAGCTCCCTTTGAAAGGAGTGAAATTTATAGCACAATGTATTTATTCACATTACAGACCATTTTCTATAGAAGCTATGTAAAGAATTCCAATCTGGAGAAGAGAGGAAATGGATTTTAAGTTCTCTCATAAATTCTCAGATTTAACAGCTCCTCAGATTTAACAAAAGGATTGAATTTTTTTTGGTACAAAATAAGAGTTTTTAATTATTGGTTATTCATCTTGGTAAATGGAAATGATCCAAAATTATCTAATTCTTTTGTCAACTAAAAGTAACTGTGACTCTATCGCCACCAAGTGGCAGTGTTCTGAATGTACAGGGTGGAATCTTGGGCGACCACATTTCTTGAGGGCTAAATATACTATTTTCCAGCTCAGAAGAAGGTGGTTCTGTGACAATCCAAATACTACATCACAATGTTAGCCTTAATTTTTCTTTTTCCTTGGAAAACTGAGGAATCTTTCTGAAGACACCCCTTTTCCAACTCAAACGAGATATGTTTTAATATCTCCATAGCTTCTCTCTACTTTTATACTTGTACATAACATTTAAAAACTGCAAATGAGGCCTGGAGCTCTGCTGATTTTTATTATCAGAATGAAATATTACATAATGAACCTGATTTTCTCAGCACAACAAGCATTCATTACTCAGTCTTTGGAAATAATTTACTATATTGCTCCTAAACGGCCATTTAAAAATAATTCTATTGCACAAAATTGGCAATTTACTTCCAATCACCCAAAGGAAGTTTTCAGCAGACCTTTTAAAAAGCAACATAGTTCTGAAATATACATCTTTGAGAAAGAAGAGTTCACAATATAATAGGGGTCTTTACATTTTTAGCTAGATAGGATTTTAATATAATTTGAAACATACACAGGGTTTTTATTATTGACATCCCATTTTTTTCCCTTCTAAATATGCTAAACTTCAGTTCAAGTAAGAGTTGACGTAAGAATAGGATTTAACATTTATGCAGTAACTTTAATTCAAATAATCCTTAAGCTTTTCTGAATTGATGCACACAATGCATATCTGGAAAAAGCAGGAACCAGGTCTGGAAAACACACTATTTGTCAATTATATAGCTTCAATATAGAAAATAAATACTGCGTTTAATCCTCACAACAGCCCATGAAGTGCTATCCCTTAGAAGGGAATCCAGACTCAGAGAAGTCATAAAAATCATACAGAGAAGAGCTGAGAAGTATTACCATTTCTGTCTTTCACTTGCTTGTCTTTCTTAAAAGGGGTGACTAGAAAGCTAACATAACTAAATGCTGAATTTAATTTCTCTGACTTACATGGCATCATACTGGTCCCACATTTATCAGGCAGTAGCCACTGGAAAACTTTCGATGACAAGCTAAGGAATTCAGATTCATGATTTTTCATTCATACATATTTAATGAGTACCTTCTATATGCTATTTCCCCAAAAAGTAGCTAATGAAACATTTCATTTCATTCTCAAACAACCCAGTATAGCTCAACTTGAAGTTAAATAACTGGTCCAAAATGACAGAACAGAGCGGTGCCAGGAAACAGAGAACTACCACCAAGTTCACGCTATTTCCTCTACCAAGGAGATAAAAAAGTGAACACAAACACATGGTAAAAAATGTTCAGTATTTTGGAAGGCTCTCTATAGGAACTCTGAGGACGGTTACCTATTTGGTCAAGGCTGTAAGGAGGGCAGGGAAGGAAGAACAGGAAATGTTCTTAGAAGAAGACAATCATTCAGCTAAGAGGCAGGAGTTAATCAGACACAGGAAGGAGGGAAGGGTATTTAAGACAAAGGGAATAATATCTGCAAAAGGAAAATCAAGTAAGAGAATACAGAATATTTGAGACTCTAGGTACCAAAGTTCAAAATAGAGAACAATGCTCTTAAGGCACAAAAGAAGAAACGGAGAAGCAGGCCAAGAGCAGATCTTAATGGGCTCTACAGATCCAGAGAACATACTATTATACAGTCCTAGGAAGCCTTTTACACAGGAAAAGTTATATTTTAGAAGACACAACATAATGCCACCAATAGCATTATGAAGGGCAGATTTGGAAGGGAAATGACTGAGAACAAGATCGGAGTGGAGTGGAAAGAATGAATCAGAGGGCAATTTTATAAATTTTTAAAAATACACTTACTGATTTTAGGGAGAGAGAAAGAAAAACATTGACGTGAGAGAGAAACAGTGATCAGTTGCCTCATGCAGGCACCTTGACTGGGCACCAAACCCGCAATCTGGGTTTGTGCCCTAACCGCTAATTGAACCCGCGACCTTTCAGTTTATGGGATGACGCCCCGCCAACGGAGCCACACTGGCCAGGGCCAGAGAGGGCGGTCCTGAAGGGAGAGACATTACAATAAAAATTAATTTGACTGCTTAATGATTGGGCCAGAAGACAGTCAGACACCGTTGAATACAAAGAAAGGTAGTATCACTTATCTGGAGGAGGGGGATTGTACATTAAGTAGAATAGTCAACATACTGATTAAAAAAAGGACACAGAAAATATTCTGGCAAAAAGAAAATCAATGGAACCATTTACTCAGAAAACTGCAGTGACAAAGCTAACAATGAGACCCATGAAACCAGGATAAGCTGTCAAAAGGAGTGACTGTAAGACTAAACTATTACACTTTTAAAATCAATAAAATGAGATAACCATGTCATAGGAAATCAGTTACTGAAGTACTAAATATAAGGTAAAAGGAAATTAAAATTATGATGCACAATGACTAAAAAGAGTAGAAACTATCCTTTGAAAAACTTTCAACAATCAGTCTTTGTTTCGTGCAGGAAAGGTGTGTGGAGTCTTGGTTACTGCGGACACAACTAGGGAAGAAGGGATCTGGCAGCAGCAGAGGATAATTAATGCTTTTAAAACAGCTTTAATACCTTCCGTGGGGAAACAGGGAAAAAGATTTTTACAATTTAGGATATTACCATGAAAAATCTCCAAACCAGAGGGTGAATCAATAGTAGGCAAAGCTTAAAGGAAAAGAAACAATGACACGAGTCTCTTAAGTCCTACCACCAGTTAGAAGATACATCTGCTGCTTCATCAAAGCGTATTTTAAAAACCGGCACAGCAGCACAGTATGACCAAGAATTTTAACTATCTGGACATTTAAAGGTATTATTTTACAAGTAAGGAAAATGATAGATTAAAAGCCTCACCCAATGTTACACAGCCTGTAAAAGGGAGAAAATAATCAGAAACAAGGTCTTCTTTTAGTTCACTGCTATTTCTACTCCACTGAGAGTGTTCAAGATGAACTACAATAATGATATAAAGAATTTCAGCTAAAAACAAAGACATTAGAAAATGTTAACAGTGTAACTGATATGAGAAAGACCTGAGGTCTTTAATTAACTCCAAACTGACTACAAGCCTACAATGAAACCAGAATGGGCCAACAGGCCAGTGATGAATTTGGAAACTATGTTCATACAAAGGATAATTGAAGAAGATATATTTATCCTAAAACAGGAGAAACTTTGTGGGGGTCGGCAGGTGGAAGGGTAAGTCCCTTCCTGTCTGGAAAGTTGACTAGGTCTTAGAGACAAAGAGTTACACGTTGTGTGGTAGTGAGCTGAACAGTTGTCCTCAACAAGCTGTATCCATGTTCTAATCCCTGTAAAGAGCCTCATTTGAAAACTTTCCCCACATCTTTGTAGATGTAATTAAGAATCTTGAGGGGCGGAGACCATCCAGAGTTAAATGGGCACTTCAATTCAATGCAAATATTCTTATAGGAGATACACAAAAGAGAAGACAGAGAAGGCGCTGCGAAGACAGAAGCAGAAACTGGAGTCACGTGGAGACAACAGCCAAAGGGGCCCTCGACCACTAGAAGCTGGAAGAAACGTGGAAAAGATTCTCCCCTAGAGCCCTCGTGTTGGGTTATAGCCCACATGACCTCTTGATTTTCAACTTCAGGCTGAAATAAATTTCTGTTGTTTAAGCCAGGGGTCCCCAGCCCCTGGGGCCACTTTTGGGCCAGGAACTGGGCCATACAGCAGGAGGTGAGCGGCGAGCTTCTTCCCACTACTACCTGAGTTCCGCGTCCTACCCCCACCTGCCCGTGGAAAAACTGTCTTCCACGAAACCAGTCCCAGGTGCCAAAGAGGTTGGGAACCACTGGTTTAAGCCACCAAGTTTGTGGCGATTTGTGAAGCAGCTCTATGAAACTAATACATATGTAGACTAGAGATTAGATTTCTCTGCAAAACCGGGTAAACATAAAAAAAAAAAAATCAATGAATTTTATACATGGGGGGATTTTGGCAGACTTTAAATTATAAGCATTTTATTACACTTGCCCAAATTACAACAAGTTATCTTCCCATATGGATGTTAAAAGGGTAATTCCTACGTCTGGAAGAATAACTTAATCTCCAATGACCTTTCCCATTCTAAGATTCTATGGATATCAATAAGCATCGATTTAAACTCAGGAACTTACTCATTTTTTATCCTTATTTTTTTGAGATAAAATTGACAACATAACATTAGTTTTAGGTGCACAACATGATTTAATATTTGTATATATCTTGAAATTACGATTCAGTATTTACCATCAACTATGGTAAAAAAATCATATAGTAATAAGTTAAAAACTTCTCCTGTATAAGAACAGAATGACAAACACAAGGATCTTAATTCATAAATACTCTAATGATGACTTCATACTAAGACCTTTAGAGACGCTCAAAATGTATCCAAAAATAAAATAGGTCTATTTGAGTATACGGCCAAGTATTGGTTCAACATTATTTTAGACAATAGAAACGTCATAAAGGGCCAATTTTGAAAAGGTACACGGTCTAAAGCATTACTTTGCTTTCTAATTTAATGAACAATCTCTTCATGTATATTTTGCTAAATACTTTATATAAGAATTTCTCATTGGTTGTAAATGAAGTCTAATCACATCAATAATGAAATAAGCTGAATAAATGCCAACATTTTTTGGAAAGAAAATAATGAAAATTTTTTAAACGTTCTTTTAAGGCCTAAGTTTTGACATGTAATGAAACATATAGAGCCAGGCTGCTTATAAAGATATAACAAATAACAATTAAAGACTCTCATCATCTGTTAGACCAGCGATTTTCAACCTTTTTTCATTTCATGGCACATATAGACTAATTACTAAATTCTGTGGCACACCAAAAAATGTACTTACCAAAAATATATTATACCAAAAAAATAGGTACAATTTTGATTCACTCACACTGGATGGTAACTGTCATCAATGGCTGTTGTCATTCTTTTATTTGACAGTCTAAGGGGAAAGAGGCCAGTGCCCCTGACTAAATAGGTAGTAAACATTTTAAAAACTCTCACGGCACACAGGGGTGCCTCTTGTAGCACACTGGTTGAAAATCGCAGTGTTAGACAATTTTGGGGAGACGTATAAACTACTGGAGTCCCCTGGCTTCTTTAGAAATTTGTTGTGGTTTTAAAAAAAAGAAAAGAAAAAAAAGAACTCAATATTTAATTAAAAACACTCAAAGAGGCCTTACCTGTTCTGTTTCAAAGATGTCTCGAAGATGTTCAAGACCAAGGCTTTTTAGAAACTGACTGATATTCATGTCAAGCCCTGCAACTAAAACAGACATAAAGCTCCTCAGCAAACAGTTTATTAATCTAAAGGAAGTTCCAGTGTTTTTTTAAAAGTTGTGGCTCTCTGACACCCGTGGCTGTGCAGATGATTTTACACAGCATAAAGTAATCCTCAATTTCATTCAGACACTTTGAGTTATCTCTGAATTTGGTTGAGAAATAAAAGCAGTTTAGCAAATCAGCAGTATTTATATTAATTTTAAAACATTTTAAAAATATTTTATTTATTTCTTTTTAGAGAGAGGGGAAGGGAGGGAGCAAGAGGGAGAGAAACACCCATGTGTGGCTGTCCCCTGTGTGCCCCTACTGGGGACCTGGCCCACGACCCAGGCCTGTGCCCTGACTGGGAACTGAACCGCTGACCCTTTGGTTCGCATGCCGGCGCTCAATCCACACCAGCCAGGGCTAATTTTAATATTAGAGAACATAAGATAATGCTTTTAGTAAATGAAATACTGAACAGTAGATACAAAATTCCAAATTTACCAGGTATCATTTTAGTTTTTACTCCTTAAATAATCTGTTTTTTCCTGATACATTTCAGGATTAAGACTCACTCAGTAGTTCAGTAAGATATACTGCGCTTTGCAATGGATGTACTGAGATATATATAAGTAAGAAAAATGCAGATACCAAGGAATTTATTCTATGAAAACATATTTTTTATAAGCTGTTATATATGACAACTGACAAATAGTTAAGGTGTCTGTAATTGAGATGTTCAATGATTACCAATAAAAAAAATGAATCTGTTAATTAAAAAACAGAACAAAAGACAAGAACCAAGTAAGCAGTCACAGTACTCACCTTCCCCTTCCTTCCTTTCTGTGCCCGCTGCGCCATCCCCGGTGTTGGATGCTCCTCCCACCGCCAGTTCTGCTAACGGGACAGTGAGGTTGTCTATGCTGCTGGCGGCAGACAGGCAGGAGGGGGTGGATGCTGGTGAGATTAGAGAGGCACTCACTACAGTAGCCTGAGGTTTAAAACAGGTGGGTAAGGCCTCTGGGGGCATGGCATCTATCAGCAGAGCTCTGATATCATCAGCCTAAAAAATACAAAAAGCGCAAAAATGGTACATATTAAAGTTGTAAGTTTTTCACTAAAAACCAAGTACTTTGTGGATTCGATCTTTAATAAATGCCTCATTATCCTATTTGTTTTTAATAATTTCTTTCTCTTTCCTTCTCTTATCTAAAAGGTCCAGCAGTTTCAATAGGCAGAACTGGGAAGAACATTAATTAAAAAAAATTTTCATTTTTGCACAGCTAATGTTAAGCTTGGTGACTATAGTTAACACTGCATTATATACTTGAAATTTGCTGAGCGCAGATTGTCTTTTGTCCAGACACACAAGAAGAGTGAACCAGAAGAAAAAAATCTAACAATGTGGACTATGTTAATTCCTGAAAACGCTTTTTTATCATTATGTGAAAAGTGTACGCACAACTGTTCAGATTACATGTGTATTTAAAGGATATGTAAGTTAATGAAGATTTGAAGAGTTATAAAAGATTTCATCTTTCATTAAAAAAACACATTTCAGAGTGTTGACTTTCAATCTCTTCCCTTAGAAGTAGTTCCCATATCTATAAACTGTGTTTTGTTTATGCTTTAACAACTACAATAATTTTTGTCCAGTGATTTAGTGCACACCTAATTTAATGTACAATTAAGAGTCCGGTGAACTTTTAAAGGAACACTATTTTATTTGGCCAGCTATTCGTGAACGTCCCAGTCGGTCAGACACAACCGCTGTTGGGGGATGCGGGAGGGCGCTCCAGAGGGCGAGCACGAACCGTTCCTCTGTGTGCATGCACGTGGCCACTGCTCCCTCTCAGAGGGGCCGTCTATCTCCCTTCCCTGGAGCCTGGGCTGCCACGCGTTGCTGTGACCAACAGAACGCAGAGGAAGTGATGTTCTGAGGCTTCTGAGGCAGGCTTCTTGGAAGCCACCCTCCGTGCGGTAAGCAGCCTGGGCTAGAGCTCTGAGCCTGGTGCCCGCGGAGGGGCCCAGCAGGGTGAAAGGCTGCGCTGGACGCTGCAGCTGCAGCTGCAGCAGAGGCCCCAGGAAGGGAAGTGCACGCGCAGCAGAACTGCCTGGCTGAACCCAGTCAACCCACAGAGCTGGGACAAATAATTAATCATTGCATTAAGCCACTTACTCAATTTTGGTTAAATTACAAAGTGTTTTCAATTCATCTGTTACTTAGCAATGGCTGTATGAAACAGAATGTGGGTTGGAAATGTATTTCTGGCTTAAAAAACTGTGATTTTTAGAAAGTTTGGGGAAGACAGTGTTGTGTTTAATTTTGTAGTTACATTAATTTTTAATTATGAAAACTTTATTCCTAGTTTTGAAAAAGTATATCGATTTACTTTTCCATATTCAGAAGAATAATGTATGGCCCAGAAATTGACTGTGTCAAAGCCCCAGATAAATTATGAGCAACAGTTGCTCTATCCCTGACTGGTGAGCCTCAGCTGGTTGGGCATCGTCCTGCAAAGCAAAATGTTGCGGGTTCAATTCCTGGATCAGGGCACATGCCTAGGTTGGTTTGGTCTTTGGTCAGGGCACATACAAGAAGCAACCAATGAATGTATAAATAAGTGGGACAACAAATCAACATTTCTCTCCTTCCCTTCACTCTCTAAAATCAGTAAATTTTTTAAAAAAATTTTCAGAAGGAAGTTTGTTTTTATTCTAAGTAAAATATGCATGACCAAAGGTAAACCCGCTAAGGCCTGGGATTTAATGTCATCTCTAAAAGTATAACAAGCAAGTCTGAGTCTTTGAAATGAGGACTTACTGTTGCCAGATCTAACGGCGTCTGACCTTCTTGGTTCTTCATAGTGGGATCTGCTCCATGTGCTAGGAGGAGGGCACATAACTGGGTCCTTCCTTTCTGGGCTGCTTCATGAAGTGGAGTGAACGCCCACTTATCTGTTGCATTTACACATGTGTTGTATTTTATCAATAATGCTGCTATGTCCACATGCTGGAGAAAAAGAAAAGGAGGTGAAGAGTTAAGAAAGATGACCTGTAATGCTCCATCAAATACTCTTGCTTTTATTTAACAATTCATTCTCTCTGTATCTCTATTATCATCCTTAATTGAAGTTTCTTGTATAAAAAAGAGTATTTACCCCACTCCTCTCCCTGTATTCTGGACTCCATCTTTCCTTGCCTCCTCCAGAACATCAGTCCCACAATTATTCTTTTACCCCATAATTCTAATTCTTCATGTGGCCATTTAAAATTTTTTATTTAGCCCTCTAACATATTCAGGCCCATCTTAAAAACAAACATTTCTCATCTAACCCATTGCAAGCCTGTCTATTTGTTGAAATACTCATCTCAAAGCTTCTCGATGTTCTTTTTTTCCAGCCTTTGGAAAAGTAACATAACACAACAAAACCACATTTTTCAAAAACTAGTCTCTCATGTCTCCAATGCCATAGCAGATGAAGGAAATGTCAGCAGCCGACACATTAACAAATAGCCTGGGCATGAGAGGATGAGATCTTCTGTGAACTGTGAACTGGGGTGGCTAGAGAAGAAAAAGAAGAGCTAAATTTGAGGAATTTTGAAGGAAAACAATATTTGGTTTTAGAAAAGGCAAATTAACTACAGAGGAAGAAAAAGAAGAAAAGTCAAAGATGACTACTACCTTTGTAGAAAAAGTTTAAGTAGGAATGAAACTATTAAAAAAGATAAAGTTCACTCGGGGTATATCGTTTTTGAGGTAAAGTATCAAAGTCAGGAGGTTCTGTAAATAGTCTGACACAAAAGGCTGGAGTACAGATAAAAGGCCACCAATTATTTATTCACTTACTCTCATACTCACTCACCACCAATAAAACATTAACTGAACACCTACTAAGTGCTTGGCACTAGAGACAGGGACTCGAGGGGAATGACAAAAACGGAATATTGAGCAGAAAGTTGTAGCTACTTGATAAATGGGCTCATTAAGAAAAGGAATACAGAAAAAGGGGAATAAAGCTGTGAAAACAGTATTTTGGGAAAGGAGAATGGAAGACAAACAGGGCAATAAAAACAGGAGAAGAACTAAAAAGAGGTGGGACTATTGAGAACCAATGCAGGAGAAAGTTTCATGAGAGTAGATTCTCTCAAATAATAGCAGAAGCTTTTACTTTCTTTCTGAAAATTCTTCTAAATAAGCCTAAGACAACTGATTATGCAAAGGTAAAACTGATTCATGATTAGGCTTTTGAGAATAATAAAGACAAACTTTATTCTTAGATAACCATTTAGGGATGCTAGTTTAGTTACTGATTGAGTATTTCTGAAATCCATTTCAACTCCAATATTCTATAATTTTTGTGTGATTGGAATATTGGTGTTCTTTATGGATACAGTTCCTGGTCATAACTTGATTACTTTTGATAACTCAGGAGCACATTATCAGTTGAGAACAAATTTCTAATTCATGCTGTTGATCAACTGTAATATACTGAGTTATCTGAAGGTGACTTCCCTGAGACTGGGAAAAGATGGCGAAGGGAAAGACAAAGATCCCGAGATGGGATTTAGGGTATGTTTCTTCATATTTTCTGTAAGACAGTCGTGGCTCTCTTGAAGATAATCACTTCAGAAAGAACAGGCACTTTTTCCCCCCTCTAAGGTAGTATTAAAGTTTTTTAAAAAAATATATAATACAAATACTTATTCACTTTAAGAAAGATAATTTCAGAAAACAAAGAAAACTTATTAGAAAATACAAATCAGACGACTTCTAATAAAGCTTCCATATTTACTTTGACAACATAAAGACAAAAAAAGTATAATCAGACTAGGGCTTTTGAGAATAGGGGTATGTTTTATGATTTTTTGGGGATGACAAACAATATCATAAAATTGATCTTAACAGATAAAAACAGGCACTATCTACGGTACTATATCAAAATCACTTAAAACAAAACCCACTATTTCATTGCCCTTATTCAATTGATATATGTTGAAAAGAATAGCTATTTTTGTTCAGTAAGTCCAAAAGCATGGAATAATTTCAAGCTTCTCCACTTATAGGCTATTTAAATTGTGTTTCTGATGATTAATTTTATTCTATTTCCATGTGTATTAGAAGAATAATATAACTTGGTAGGCTAATTTGCATAGGCTTCCAAAATTAGTCCAAGGAAAATTGTGTGTGAGCATAAAACGAATTCCATATATAGTATATATTATTAAACTTTCCTTATATTGACTTTATATTTTATGCTTGGAGAAATTAGTTATATGCTTTTTAAAATTTGCCAACAAACATCTGAAAAACGATAAAACAGAAAGGAGTATATTACTACCCAAGTGCACTAAAAACATAATTCTTAAGTCTTAAATATCTACACCACTGGGGCAAAAGTAGAAATTGAAATTTAAGGCTGACAAACACAATAAATAAGAGCCAGGTATTGAACTGGAAGGTAGAGAAAAGGAACTGAACTCTTGGAATGTTTTCAGGAGAAAGAGTCAATTTAATCTGGTGTTAGAATCCAGCTGCAGCACAGATGCTTTGAATGACAAATACAATGTAACAAGACTAGGAGAACGGTGGGAAGCAGGGAGAAGAGAAACATGCTTAGTTTTTGCAAGGAGCATGAGGATGAGGATATTCTCATTATGAAGGGCAAACAAGATGAGAGTAGAGAATGTAAAAATCTTGGTGACTCATTTTTATTTATAGTTTGCTAGGCTTTGGCAAATCTAGAAACTGCCCTCATCAAGAGTGAGTGATTCCAACTGTGAGAACCTCTGGGATGTACAATCTGGCATCTGTGGATTTTTACAGCTAAACAGGGACTAAGTCGATGAAGAGACAAGTGCATGAGCATTCACGCCATTCCTGCGGGACTCATTCGGTCTGAAGGGGGCCTCGGTGACCCCAGCAGTCCGCCTCCACAATGGCATCGTGGGAGGCGGTATGTTTCTCTTTCTCTTTTGGCCTGCGAGGAGTTACAGTGCTTTGAGAGAATGACTGGACTTTCACCATGGGACTTTAGCTAGTCAATTCAAATGCTATGAAGCCATATATTTGTATACCAATAGCTCAACCATTTACTTGATTATTTAAAGAATGCTGATGATAAACATGAGCAACCACAATTTCCATGCCTAAAAAGGAGCCTCCTGGCTTTTATAGTTTCTAAAATCTACTTGAGGTAGAATATTACCTGTACCAATAAATATTAACTGAACAGCTATTATACACCTATGATTGTGCTAGATAATGCTGAAGAGACCAAAAAGCTATAAAAAGCGTAGTCTTTGGCTAAAAAGAGTGCTTAACTGGGAAGGCTAGAAACACTAAGAATAGAAGATTATGATTGTGCTAAATTATGCTGTTGGTTAGATTATCTACTTACTTCATGCACAGTATACTTTTAATAAAGCAGTAAATGTCAGTGAAGTTTTCTAGATTTGAACTCTAGCATGCTCACCCCATAGGATGCTGCATTATGAAGGGGAATTAAGCCACCTTTGTCTTGTGCATTAACATCTGCTCCATGCTCTAGAAGATATTCAGCAACTTCCAGGTTATTGTAGCCAGCTATTAGAGTGAAAAAAGGCAAACATGTCAGCTTAAAATTAAAAAAAAAAAAAAAAAAGTATATAAATAATAAGGACTGGAAAAATGTTAAAGTTTTAATACTTCTTGCTTTAAAAGTGAATACTATTATTACATAATTAAGAGCCTTTACAGTAAGAAATGACATAAAATTATGTCAGTCGAAAGTGCTTTGCTAAGTAATACTCTCCACGGTCAGCATTTCTTTCACCTCCTGGCAACTGGTATTAGGTATCCAGGAGTGGACGGCGAGGCCTGGGGGTGCTGCCGATGCTCACCTGCCAGGTGCAGAGGGGTTGAGTTTCTGCCCTGGGTGTCTCTGCAGTTGATATTCTCTGGGGTACAGAGCTTCTGCACTCTTGCCAGGCAGCCCTTCTTGGCAGCATCCAACAAGGCAGCATCTCCTCTCAGCAAGTCCTGAATGTCTGTGTCCCCTTCTTTAACCAAATCTAAAGGTGTATTTCCATCTCTGTTCTTTTTAGTTGGATCTGCTCCATGCTGCAAAGAAAAACCAAATGGGGTTTGTATTTTCTGTAGTATCCTTCTTCAGGTCTGTTTATTTATTTTTAACTGCACTCATCCAAGGAAAGATATCTATTCTACATGCATTTTGAACAGAGGCAAGATCCCGTTTTATTTTGCAAATTCCCTACTTAGCAGTATACTGGAGCAGCTTTCCAACGAATACTCAACCAAAGCCTCAAGCCTCAGGATCACTGGTGATGATGGGGAAGTGGGGATGGTGCTGAGGACCTTTTCCTTTTCACCTCCTACCCTGCCTCAGACTCCAAGCTTTGAAAGATGTTTTTGAAAACATCTTTTCCTTTAAGAATGGTCTGGCTGTTATTTTTACCAGATTTCAACTACATAAAGATATCCAGTGAATATCATGAAAAAGAACAGAGAAGAAAACACACAGGTAGAAAAAGTATTGATTCTAGCCCTGGCTGGTGTGGCTCAGTGGACTGAGTGCCGGCCTGTGAACTGAAAGGTCACCGGTTGGATTCCCAGTCAGGGCACATGCCTGGGTTGCAGCCCCGGTCCCCATTTGGGGGCACGTGAGAGGCAACCAATTGATGTATTTCTCACACATTGACGTTTCTCTCCCTTTCTTTCTCTCTCTCTCCCTTCTCTCTAAAAATCAATAAATAAAATCTTAAAACAACAAAAACAACAACTTGATTTTAAATGCAAAAGAAAGTTTGGTAATTTTAAAATATTTTCATTTTAGGCCTTAATACCTATCATGAAATTAGGTATAAATATGTTAACAATTAATTTGATTTTAACAGTTCACATATACTATGAAATAAAGTAATAGTCAAGGATTTTTATTATGGGCCAGGCAGTCCGTAACCTGCCCAATGGAGCATATCTGTAAGATACCAAGCTAGACAATGAATTTACAGTGACTTGCAAGTTATTTCTTACTAACCAGTGACAATAAAAATGACCATCAAATACAGTGTTATTCTCAAGACTCTAAGAACATATTTGATAACATAAAAGGTGAAATAAGAATTTTATTTATATTTAACCAGGACAAGTTTTTCTCTAGTTAAAAAAAAAGAGAGGAAGAAAACTACACACACACACACACACACACACGCACTCTTGACCATTTTTCACATCCTTAAAAAGACACACACACACAAATTTATTTAGTTTCATATAACTACCAGTTTCTACCATTTCGTGTATATCCCCCAAATTTATAAAAGTATCTGCTGAGATATATTTTAATAAAAAATCTGATATTAAAATAAAGTTATTATAAGATATATATTTAAATAATCTTTAATAATGAGGGATGAGTTTGTTAACAACAATAAAGTAGCCAGTAAGAAAAAAATAAAATTTGGTCAAAAACTTGTTTCTCCTTCTACAAATGTTTTCTAATATTAATACTGGAAGCATTAGATATGCAATGCAAACTAATTCAACTCTTTCCAAAACCTACCTTGATGAGCTATGATTAACTCAACTTAATCAAATCAGTTCAGAAAGGCACTTCAGACAGTACTCAATGCTATGTAAATATCATATCACACTTAAACATCCCCCTAAAATGCAAAATGGAAGTGTCTCTATAACACTTACTATACTTAATAGAATAATTTACTTTGATGTAATTTTACATGCTAACCAAAAGTAAATATAATTACTTTATACTTTATAATTTTTAAAATTACATACTTTTAAAAGGAGCTTGCAGATTTCGTATTTGCCTTTCGCTGCCGCTTCATGGAGAGGGGTAAACTTCCACAAGTCCGCAACATTGACAGAGGCCCCGTGCCTCACCAAAAGCTCGGCCACCTCATAGTGTCCATACGAACAAGCATTATGAAGGGGCACCAAGCCACTAGATGGAAGAAAATTATTTTTAAGACACATAACAAATCTTTGAGTTAAAATGATACTTCCGATAAAAATAATGTAATTTTTCTACTGCATTGACTATTTTGAAGACTCACTTAAAAAGAAAGAAATGAACTGGTCTTTAAGATACAGTGATCCATTTCCAAATAAGAATTAGTAATTTTAAAAATGTTCCTTTTAATACTAGGACTTTGTACAGTTTCTTGGTGATAGATACAAATTTCACAGCAATCCTTACCCTTAAAATACATGTATCCTTAAAACACACACACACCCCCGCCCCACACACACACACATGCGCGTGCGAAAAGATCCCATCATAATACTTTTAATTCAGGTTTCATCCTGGCAATATAAAGCAACACTACAAAGTGATTTCAGGAATAATTAAACAATAATTTGGGTTATCACCTCTCAGATTTTCTTCCATTTGGGTTTTCCTAATGAAAACTGCTTTTAAAATACACAAGGCAATTCAGTGTACTTATTTAGACAAGTTCTACTTTTTTTTTTTAATGGTTTCTGTGAAAAGGTTTAAATATTTAGGTGCCAAGCAACAAAAACTCAAAATCCAAGTGATACAGGCTCCAGTATTTAGCAAGGAAAATAATGGCATCAACCATAAGCTCCACTCAGCTGAGCAAACCCAGCTGCCTCATTCTAAGGAAACTATTCTGAGATGACTAGGCAGCTGACATTCTAAAGGGACTGAGAATGTTCCCATCAGAATGGGTGAATCAAAAAGATAAGTTTAATTTGCACTTTAGACATGGCAAAAACTGGGTATGAGTGCCTTTTTATTTAGTGATCAGTGCTTTTTAAAAAAATCTTTTGAAATCAAAATACTAAGTGCTAAAATGGGCAATAGAAAAAAAATGTTGGTTGTTCTCCAAGGAGCTATAATACTTTAGAAGAGCTGATGGTATTATCATTGAATACTAATGTCTGATATGTCTCTTTCAAAAGATAAATAAATTCATAACTATTCATTGGCGTCTAAGTTGTACAGTTTAATTCTAGTAGTACCCTGGTATGTAATTGTACACAAAGGTGCTTACTTATATATACTTTCAGCTGATATGAAATTAACTCAGAATATGGAAACTCATTTCAATTAAACTTCCTTCTTGCATTTCTAAATAGCTTCTATGGTGGCTTTAAAAACTGTCCAGAAAAAGAGAGATAATTTAGTAAACTAATATAAAGAATATGTGAACTAGTAAAAAATAAATTAATAATTTTTATTAATTATTAATACTGAAGACTTTGGAATGGATGGCTTCTTTTTGGAAGAGATTATACATTTTTAATAGCAAAACAAGAAATAAACAATAAATTATAAAGCATATAAATGCATTCATACAATGCAATAAAATACTATATACCGCCATTAAAAGGATGAGATAAACCATAAGCACTAATACGGAAAGATATTCAAGATCTATGACTGGATCAAAGAGCACGTTGCGCACGCAGTGCGCTGCCTGGAAGGGTGCCCTCCTTGACGGCAGAGACCACTCCCGCCCCCAAAAGCAGCCGCACGTGAGGAGCGCAACCAAATTGTAATGTGAGCTCTAGGACGTGAATTTTCACTACATTTCTATAATGTTTTAACTTATGCTTTAAACTTTAGAAAACATGCATCACTTTTTAAATAGGGAAGGAAATGAAGGCTTCAAAAATATTAAAGTAATTTTTTAAGTCTCAAAATAATGAATCCCAAACAGCTAAACTCCAACACATACCCTTTGTCTTTGGCATGGACGTCGGCACCGTGGTGTAGAAGGTACTCCACAACAGACACACGATTGTAGCCTGCCGCAAAGTGTAAGGGTGTAGAATGGCGGCCCTCCAAGTCTCTGCAATTCACATTTTGAGGGCTGCAAAGTTGCTTTTAGGGCACGTACACACAGACAAACACAAAATGAATATTAATATTTATTCACTGATTTTGCTCCAAAATATTGCAGGCATCTTGGACAACTGTGATTTTCTAATGAATGTTTATTTCCAAAGGTTAGATAATACAAGTGATGTTTAAAAATCAGCACTATGCTCGGTTTTACAGTGTCTAGAAATAGTCCCACTGTTCACAGAACAACTGAACCTTTTTCATCATTTCCTGGCCAAAACCCTAACGAAAAAGAAAAACCCATAGTTAAGCAAGCAGCACTAGGCGACTGATGCCTCCCCTCTTTGCCTTTATAGGCGGCCCTCCCTGAGACTGCCTGTCACCTTCGCCATTCTTCGCTCAAATATGAGCGATGCTGGCTGACTGCAGAATTACTGAGTTCTTGTCTCCTCTGATGTGGAAAGAAAAAGGCTCTGAGAAATTACAGTAATTTTTCTTGGGCCACCCACTTGGCCCTCTGATCCGCTCAACAAAGCCACACAGTCCACAGCGCTTTACTGGCCCTTCAGGGGGTGTCTGTCTAACTCTGCAAGTCAACCTGATTCTAACCCTACTGTAGTTTTCGGCTTTACTTCCATCTCCTTCAGCGATGCCCTCTAAGTTTCTCCTCTGTCTCCTTTTCAGTGTTACCATTTCAGCACAATCTGTTAGATTACAAGCAGTAGGAAGCAAAGTTAAGGACTGACAGGATGTGGTGACAGATGAATGACAAAAATATTGGAATAATTTACAATCTATAAAAATTTCACATTCCTTAGCGAATTACTACCTATCTGTGGAGTTGATCATTATCTCCATTTTACATATAAATAAACCAAGGTTCAGCAAGGTTAAGTGAAATCCTTTTTCATACAGTTTGTAAGGGGTAGTAGCATAAAGACTCAGACCCTGTTTTCCTGATTATTAATCTCTTGATCTTTTTGCTGCATGGTTGGTTAAAAACTAAGAAACTGTTTCTACTGATACACTAACTAGGGGCTTTCATGCTGGTAGGGTAAAAACAGGACTTTTCAGGAGGTGTAACTTTGACATGACAGAAAAAATCTGGGCAGTACAAGGGAGTGCCGACAATTTCTTCAACTCTTAAGTGGAAAAGCACCAGACTCTCAATTCTGAAGAATCATTATCATCTGGGCAGTCAAATACCTTATCTTTTCATGACATGTGAGGCTGTGGCTATATTAATACATAAATGAGAGAATTAAAAAATTAAATAGAAGTGAATAAATTAACAGGTAAACTAAAAAGGGTGCAGAGATTGGTGGTAAAGACCAGAGGTCTTACATGACAAGCTGCTTCCTGCTGCTGCTTTTTCTTCTAGTTCTTATTTTCTAAATTAATTTTTTTTTTTTCAGAGAGTACTGGTGAAATAGGAATGAGGGAGAAAATTAAGAAACACAACCCATTTTCCCAGGTCAAAAATAAGAGCCCATTCTGCTTATTAAATATTTACTTCTTAATATTTGGAAGTTCTTTATTCTCTCTTCTGTTTCATTTTCTTTTTGAAAGGCAAAAGCAACTTTGCATCTTTTCTGCCTGTTTTACATAATTTCAAATATGTTACTTAGCAAACAGATTTTTCTTCTAATATCAAATTTCTAATACTTCCTAAAGCCTCCAGGGAAAGAAATTTATCAGGCTTTACCTTCATTTAATTTGTGCTTTGTTTTTTCCTGTCACTGTGATTCCATTAAAAAAAAAAATAGCTGGCCTTTATTTTGAATAGACTGTTTAGGAAACCTGAAAGGTGCAGTATATTGCCTGCTACATACAAAAGATACTGAATTATGTTACTTTATTACATTAAAAATAAACTATTAGTTTTATTATAATGGGTACATGCAGCAACACTAGTGCTGAGATTACCATGCTGTGACACGGAGAAGGAGTCCTAATCATTTTTACGCTTAAAGATTTTCTTTTATTAGGATACATTACCAATGACAGAAGTATTTTTAAGAAAAAATCCCGTAATTTTAGATCTCAGAGAACTTGAAAATTTCTTCCCAGTGGCTATTAAAACTGATACTATTATTTTTCTTTAAATAACGTCGATGTTATTATAAGATGAGAGAGAGGTTGGTAGTGACCACATATTAAAGTAAAAAATAAAATTTCTAGGCCAGAGCTTAGAAAGTGTTTACAGTCATTTCAAATAGAATACATCATCAAGCATGCTAAAATTAGCTTACTAAAAAATCACAAAAATTAAGTTTGCATAATAATAAGGAACAAAGTTTGGTCTGTAAAACAATAATCTGGTATGACTGCTAATACTGGCATTGTAATTGGCCTTTCTTAAAAAAGTGAAAAGAAAAAGAAATATAAACAAAAACAAAAGCCCTTTGTTATTTTCATCCTTGCATGAGTGATTGTAGATGGCAAGTGTGTGTGTTTTTAAAAAGCATATTCAATTTTAGAAAATAATTTTTATTTGAAAAACATTAAATCTATAACCACTGTTTCTATACCACGCAAAAAGGGTTGATAAAATTTTCTTGGCAAACAGAGTTACATCGGGAAAAAACCCATCCTCTGCATAAAAATAATTCCAAGTGGTTGCAGGATCATAATACTTTCCCAGAGCAAATTTGAGAATCTCTTGGAAAACTTCAAGAAACACCGTTTCAAACACTACTGTACTATTACCTGGGCTTGAACTAGCTCAGAAATTTCAGAAGGCAGCAAAAAGTAACATTTTAATTAATATAGTGAAAACAAAAGAGCTATCATAGAACCAGAAGAAAAGTGACTAAAAAGTAGGTGAAGCAAATGGATGTAAGGCACGTCCTTGGACATTTTTTGTGGTTAAAAATCTCTCGTTTATGTATCCATTCTGCTCAACTCTTTCATTGTTTTTATTTGAGTAGTGTCACTTACAAGTTTAAAATGAATTGATTAGCAAGGGATCAATGATGCTACTCTAGACGTTAAAGACATTGACTTACCTTCACAGTTTCCAAGTCTCCAGCTTTAGATGCCTCTAAGAGTCGATAGTCAACGTCAGAAGTACGTATAGGTGTACTTTCTGCATAAAAGGAAGGAAAGGTTATTGCTGGTTTTCAAGGAATCATAGAGTAGTTAAGAAGGGGAAGTTATCTGGTGAATGGAGAGAGAGATTGAGGGGTCCGATTCTAAGATATAATAATATAGGGTTCCCCCCCAATCTTTACTAGGTAAAACATAAGTGGTTTCTTACTTCATTCTATATCCATCTCATCCTAAACCAAATTTAAATAAATTCTAAGACACATAAGTCTTCCTCCATCCCTACGAGTCTATCCTTCAAATTTTCTGGTCAAACCTGGCAAAGGGGAATGAAGAAACATAGGACCATGAGCTCACGGTCATCTTCGTGGTACACTTGTCTTACAAAGTGTTGTAGCAAAGCTTTGCCATGGATTTTGTTATGCAGACCTAGGGAAGCCACTCAACTGTCAGTGCTTACTTAATGTTCAGCCTTTCTTTTGGGCCTCAGTTTCCTTAAAATGAAACAGAAGTACTACTCCTGAAATCAGTGATTCTAGAAAATAAAATCAGTGTACAAAAACGGCCTACTAAATACAGAAATGTAATTCACTCTTATTAAATGGCTTCAGGGAAATACAATTTAAAATGTCTGTAAATTGGGAGGTGTGATACAAATGCTAAGGAGATTATAATTAAATCAGGCTGTTAAGTCTACACCTATGAGGCTAACAAATGAAGCTTTTTGATTAATCCAATGTAAACACACCAAAAATTCATTACAGGTTGGCCTGAATGAAAAGGTTTAAAAAAAAAAAAAATCTGAGCTATATCACTCAAAATACTTCATGAACATTAAGTGTGGCTTTTATAATGCGTACACATACCCAGATAACGCAAAAAGGGACCGGAGTCCAGGAGACCAGTATTTTGACTGGCTCTATTAACTGTGACAGTGGACAAATCGCTTAATAGCTTAGTTTTTGCTAAGTGATTTAGGTGATTGTTAGTCTCCTTTAAATTCTCTCAGATTTAAGACTGCATTATTTTATGATTGGAGACATCTTTCTGGAGTCCACTGTACAAATGAAAAGAGCAACTGTTGCTAAAAAAAGGTTTTAGATTTCAGAAGAAATACCGTGCTTCTCTCTAGTCTGAAGTGCTTCGTTCAGGACAAAGGCTTTTACAGAGTAAGTTATGAGAACTCTTCAATGGAAGATAAACTGTATTTCTTTAGTCGTAATAATAACAGCAGATGAAATGTTAAGATTAAAGGGAGGAAAGAAGAGAGTATTTCATATAATAAAGTATGTTTTTGAAATAACAATTATGTTTCTTTAAAAGGGAGTTTATTATATTTGTTAATAAATATATTATATACTTATAATTATTATATATTTTAAATAATATATTATTTTAATACTTATTAATTCATTATAATATAATAATTATTATATAATAATAAATAACATATATGTTTGTGGAAGGGAACTGTTGAGTTAGACATCTTTATACTCCTTTTCACATGGAGAACATTCAGAAAGCATTTGCTGAATTCACTTCCATGCTACATCTACATTGGGGCCAATGTATATGTCAAATCTTAGCTCTTTGGCTTCCCTTATTCTGTCCTTTCCCATCTCATTTGCCTCCACACTCACGGTGCCTGACACGGCATCTAATGCGGGTGTGCTATGTCCCGATGGCAGTGGTTCTGGCAGTTGGTATAACTCACCGAAACAGCCTAAGGAAAGCCATAGGTACTATTTTTAGTTTATCATTTCAGCAGAATAAAATGACAACTGTTTATGTATACAGAGTTAGAACTCTGGATATTTTTAGATTCTAGCATTTTAAGGATACAATTAATACAGCTCAATTTTTTTAAATTCTGAAAACTATTTGAGGTTGGCACACCTGTCTTGATGCAGACTGGTTTGCAAAGGGTATAATTTCACAATCAAACAAAAATTGTTATGCAAATATAAGAAAGAGTAGAAAGTAAATAAGTTATTTAAAGCTATTGATTAATTACCATACAAGTTACAGCGCTTTGCATCCATTATAAATCCTGAACAGGGTTGGGACAGATTCATTTTTAGAAATCTCTCTCTCTCTCTCTCTCTCTCTCCCCCCCCCACACACACCCTCCCACACACCCACCCCCCCACCCCCAGAACTTTGTATAGAGAGATACACAATTTTTACAAAAGGACACACACGGACACACACACACACGCACACCCCCCCCACCAGAACTTTGTATAGAGAGATACACAATTCTTACAAAAGTATATAAAAATAAATTTAAAAAGGAAATACAGGCAAAAGAAGACTAGCTGATATGCAAATATTGTATTAGTAAAATCCTTTATCAGCACACTGGTTTTTGCACAGCATGAAAATAAATATTTCACCTAGAGTTAAACGCTGGAGATAGGTTTCTAATTTTCTCTCCAGTTCTATTCTGTTTTACCAGAATTAAAAACGAAACAAGAACCCCTAAAGTCTCAAAGTTTAAAAAGCAGTTGGCTATTTAAAAAAAGTCTCCTGTAGACTTGCTTAGTTAGTGTTAAGATGACAGGACTGGCAAAAGGTCTTAGTGGCTCATTTCAAGGTGCAAATGTAACTGGGGATTTCAGTTTTACCTTAGATATCGTGAGCCCCCAAATCCTTACCTTTGTAAAGGGTTAGGTAAAAGCAATGCGATAACAATATTGGAATACACAGTCAGAGGAATTCAGGTCAAGATCTGTTCACAAGAGCTCTCCGTGAGGCTAGAACTGTGCTTTATCTGTGCTAATACAGCAGCCACCAGCCACATGTGGCTACTGAGTACCTGCAATGTGGCTAATACAACTGATAAACAGATTTTAACATTTTCTTTAATTTAGCCACATGTAGCTAATGGTTACCACCTGGGCAGAGCAGGTCTAGAGAAAAAGGTCAAATCTTCTAAAACAATTTAAAAATTGCTCATTTATTTAAAAAACTGCTTATTTTCCTTCATGCAACATTAATTTCAACACAAATATTGCCTGTAGTTTATAATTAAAACTTTATTAATTTTGACAACTACAGATTGGGAACTGAAAGTGAAGGTCTCTGAAAGTAGATATTAAATGTGGTATTAGCAGGTGTATTTAAATAAATCTTTACAATGTTGCAACTTACTATGCATTCTATATGATTGATACATACTTTTGGGAGTCATTACAGATATAACCTGGAATGTGATTAATTAATGTAGGTATAATTGGAAAGTTTACCTAGTTCATGGTCCACAGACTAAACATTCAAGTTTCCTGTAGAAATATTAGTCTAAAAATTATATATATTCTCTTCCAAAAAAAGAAACAATTCCCATTTTTAGAAACCCTTCTAAGGACAAGATTTTACCATATAATTGTGGTATCTTTCCAGATCAATAAAGAATATGAAGAATTAAACTAAAAAGTTCTGGCATGTACTAAATTAAACATTTAATAACCTATCTTGAGTAATGATTTATCTCACAAATCAATTTTTAAAAGAAGAATTATCAAAAGTATTTCACTTGTGATTCGGTATTTAATATTTTACCAGGAGCCATATATCCTAACAGTATTAATTTAGAAGACACTTTAAAAGCTTTAACACAATAGATCTCCCCTGGCTGGTGTGCCTCAGTTGGTTGGAGTATTGTCCCATAAACCAAAGGGCTGAAAATTCGATTCCCATCAGCGTACACGCCTATGTTGCTGGTTTGATCCCTGGTCGGGGTGCGTGAGAGAGGCAACTGATCAATGTTTCCTTCTCATATGGATGTTTCTCTCCCTCTCATTATCCCTCCCTCTCTCTAAAATCAATAAGCATATCCTCGAAGAAAGAAAATTAAATAAATACATGCATTAATAGATCTAACATGCTTAATTTATTCAACCCTTTCCTCCTCATTTTGTAAATTATCTCTAAAAGTTATGTATTGTTAGAAATTTCGATACGGTAGTTATATTTGCCTGATTTATAGTTACAACTTAAAGAAATTTAAAATCAGTACTACATGGTTCTTAGTGAAAAGTTTAAGAGGAAAATTGAGAATGTTTTATAAAAAAATCATACCTTTTAGAAATTAGAATTTAGTGAGAAGGCAGAAATATTTTCTAGTTAATGACGGGCTAAGTAAATGTATTATTGCTAAGCAGAAACAAGAAGGTAAATGAAGTTCTGCTTTTCATAGTTCAAACTTGAAATTCTGTAATAGGAAATTTTATTCCTTTAGACAGATCTTACTTTTTTTAATAGTAAAAGATGCCCTAGACAGGTCTTACCTCAAGTGTCTAAAAATCACTGTCTAAAGCTGAAGTAGAATGATCACTATTTAAGAATGAACTGGAATGAGGAAAATAAATCCTTATCAATAGCTTTCACAATGTAGCACAGTTACTCTTATGAGGCTGGTTAGCTCTGGTTCAGTTCCAGTAACACATGTCATGATCTCCAGAAGTCTGGGAAGGGCCCCTATTTCAGTACGTAGTGGTGATTCTCAACTGGCTGGGCTTTCTAGGGGCCCTAGAAATCTGTGGGGTTATTTTTTGTCTTCTAGTATAGTCTTGCCTAAGCCATTACTATTATAATATTGTAATTATAGCTTATTTTATTATGACTTACTGCCATTTTCTCTTCCTGGTATAGTTAGGACATTTAATACAGCTTTTTGAAAGATATTGTATAGTTAGACCATGACCACATCATTTATGAATTCATTCTGGATCATAAAGGGGATGTTATAAAATATTCACTGTAAAACGGGCCCTGCATCTGATAGAGCGAAGGCCGGGGCTATAGGCAGGACCAAGGACTGGGACTTCGGATTCCTAGCCTGCTGCCTTCCTCATCTTATTCTTCCATTTTGTTATGTCATTTTGGATCAGATAATTCCACAGACAAAAATGAAAGAAATGAGAAAGAAGAGTTGATTATATGAATTTTTTTTTGTATCAAGTTCATCATCTTTCAGTAGATGGATTATGTTATTTTTGTCTAATTTTAGGGCTTCAGAAACTAATGTCTACTTTTGTATCAGTTTTATAATCTTCCTCAGTAAACTAAGAACTTAAAGTATCAAATACTATACTAGGAAGGCACTGTTTACGCTCAGCCAGGTCTTATAATTATATTTAAACCAGGAAAAGATAATTTCATAAAAGTGCAATAAAGTTAAGAATCACAAAACACAGCTCAAAATATAACACATGCATGAATAATTAATTAAAGATCATTACCATGTAAATAATGTGTAATTTTCTCTACTGATAGACTTTCGAACTACTGTAATTCCACACTGTTTACATGAGCTTTAACTACTTTTTGACCGTAACACGTAAGTCAGGTTTTTAAATTTAAAATGAAAAAAATTAAAGGGTGTATTTGCTTCCTTCTCATGACACCTACCTCCCCGCAGCAAACAAGGCTGGTAGTCAGGGCCACAGGCTAAATCGTAAGCAAGGAAAGGCCGGAAAAACATTGAAACAAGCAAACATTCCAAAGAGCCACTTAAAACAGGAGGTACAAAGTTTGTCTGTGTTCAGAAGTGGACGTGCAAGAGAAAGAAGAGGACGCAGCGGCCAGCTGCCGGAACTCACCGCTCAGGATCTGCTGCACGGCTTCGTTCCCCATCTGCGCCGCTGTGAAGCCTTGTAAGGAGATGATGGAGGGGTCAGAGCCGTAACTCAGCAGGAGGCGGCAGGTCTGCAGGTGGCCGGCAAGGGCGGCTCTATGCAGAGCGGTCTGACCGAGAGTGTCCAGTGCATTCATCTGAAAAATCATTGGGTGGGCACATGAAACTGAGCATCGATTTCTGTTCCTTTTCATACTTAAGCAAATAAATTCAAATGAGAAGAAACAATTGTCAAAGCTTTTTGAAAAAATTCCAAGGATACTTACTGGTTCTCAAGAAATACCATCGTAAGCCACCCTTCTCTGACCACCTTATTGAAAATTACAACTTAACTATCCCTTCCCGAAATGACTGTCTTTCTTTCTGTCCATCCTCTACTCCCTGCCATTCCCCCAGACAACGAGAATGGGGCCGGGACTTCGTCCAGCATCCCCTGCCTATCACATTAAAAATGTATGTTAAATACTTTTGGATGAATTGGTTTTTATCGAACTTGTTCTCAGAATATAAAAATAATATAATATGTAAAAAAAGATAGTTGAAGTAGTTCATTACATTTCTTTTCTAATTTTATTAAATTATAACACAGTGCCCTAACTGAATTACAAATATATTTAAGCAAAAAAAAAAAAAAAAAGAGAAAAGAAAGAAAATGATTTAAAGGTCAAATGTTCCATTTTTAAAAGTTTGAAGGGTATAAAGAATAATATTTGAGCTCGTTTTAAAACTAAAATATTAAACTTTTGGATCATGTTCACAATTTGATCAAAGCTAAATGGCCTTAACCTGTGTTCCAGAATGTCCCAGTAAATACCTTCTCCTGCCGTCAAAACCCAAGTCCCTGTTCACTGTACATACGGCTACTTCAGAGAAGCCCTTCCTTCTGCCTTTAGGGATCAAGAGATCCAGCCCAAGCTACCCCTCTTCTAAGAAGCCCTTCTTGATTACTTGGAGCCTTGGTAATTACTTCCTTTCTGAACACCTATGTCAACTCAGTGCTATCTTATAAATTAAAACATTAGAAAAGCTTTTGTTTACCAAGTAAAACTAAGGTTATTGACAATATAGACTGTATTAGGTTTTCTGGGCCCTCTATAAAGCTCCTGTTAATGGTGAGGAGCAAATTCCCAAATATATGCTTCTTGGTTATTCAAAACATTTGTGTACACCCACCAAATGCACAACACAAAAAGAGGTTTAAACAAAATGATCTCCCCGTCTCCAGTCTATCATCGTTACAGGTAAGGCTGTCACATCTGTTTAGGCAAGGGCTCACCTAAATCTGTAACGGTGTTTCACAAAATTCTCCACAAAATACTGACATATTTAATTTTATCACCTTTGCAACAGAAAAAGGACTGTTTTATATACAGGCAGCATAAAAGTGAAGCCGTTAGCACGTACTGAATGGAAAACACAAACTGCTTGAATTTTTCTATGAATATTTCTTTACTATTTTTTTAAAACCTGTTTCTTTTTAAATCCTCACCTGAGGATGTATTTGCTAACTCCAGAGAGAAAGTAAGGGGGGAGGCGGGCGGTAGGGGGAGAGAGAGACAAGAACGTCAGTGTGTTGCCTCCCATACACACCCTGACTGGGGATCAAATCAGCAACTGAGGTATGTGCCCTGATGAGGAATCGAATCTGCAACCTTTCCGTGTACGGGATGACACTTCAGCCAACTGAGCCACCCAGCTATGGCTTTATTACTTCATCACCGTAGGAGGAAAACATCAATTTCAGGATATTCTAATTATTAACATTTTTCTGGAAATTGGATAAGAAACCTACTAAATTCTTTAATCATCATGATGAAAATCCTCAATGCACCTTGTTAAACAATGGGAACATGGCTTAAGAATTATGTGAGAATTATTACTCTAAGATACAGAACTTACCAAGTTACTCCTCAGCTTAGTGACTGTTCAATGCCTTCATTTAAACTTAAATGAATTCCTCAACATGTCATTTAAGATTACCTACCATTTACTTTTATACTATCCTGCTTTCTACTATATATATTTTTATGACAGTCTAATAGAGCTGTTATGCCCCAGCTTTATTAGATTATACTGAAGCCCCACTTTATGAAGGCTAGATTCTAAAGTCATTGCAAAAGGTAAAATATGCGTCTGGTCAAAATTATCCTTGAAAACACCTTAGCAATGCAATGGGAGAGAGATATAAAATTTCTTGGTAAATCTAACACCAGCTAGTTTTACCTCCAGTGTCTGAGCAGACTGACTAATAAACAGCAGATAAAATACAGACAGTATTTTTAAACATTAAAAACACTATGTGTAATAAGAGGTTCTCTCTATAAATATGTATGGTGAAACTCAGCACAATATAGAAAACAGCAAATTCACATTCTTTTTTTTTCTTTTAAAGATTTTATTTATTTTTGGACAGATGGGAGGGGAGGGAGAGAAACATCAATGTGTGGTCGCCTCTCGCATGGCCCCCGCTGGGGACCTGGCAGGCAACCCAGGCCTGTGCCCTGACTGGCAATTGAACTGGTGACTCCGCAGTTCACAGGCCAGTGCTCAATCCACTGAGCCACACCAGCCAGGGCAGATTCGCATTCTTTAAGAATTATATTTTAAATGGCTATACAAATGCCTACATAAAATTGTCGATTTTGTGTCTTGGCCTACCAAGCCTAAACATTTGCTATTCGGACTTTAAAAAAAAAAGTTTACGGACTATGTTCTGAAGTAAGAAAGAAAGGGAAAAATGATTACTGAATGAAAAATCAACTATCTACTTGAGTCATTACAGATCTTTAAATTGACTCAAAATTAAGAAAAAATTTAAGGTTCCTAACTTCTTCTTCTGTTTAACTGTTATCAATGCTGTTAATGTTCTAGCTTTGTTTACTCTTATTCAGTCATGGGATAAAATCAGGACTCTCTAAAAAGTGGTCAACCTCATTTTTTCTCCCACATATTCTGAAGTGGTTCAAGGCCCAGAAGTACAAAATTTATCAGGCCTTCCTGAAAAATTTGTTTTTTGAGGGTAGCAGTAACTATTTTACATGACTACAGATCAATCTCCAGCCCCTGACTTTTTAAAATGGGTAATCTAGAAGGATTTGTATTACTGCTCCAATTCCAATAAACAGTGAAGAAGAGTGATACTTTGGAGCTACAATAATTTTATTGTGTTGTGATTCTCAGATAATAATAGGGAACTCTAATTGTTTAAAGAAGGTTATCCTAAATTTGGATTTATTACTCTGATTTCTACCATAAGTTAGATAAATAGCAAATAATAGTAATTTACTCTCTTGTTGAAAAAATATAGATTAAACGACTTGTGCATATCACTGAGAATATCAATACTGGAAGCACTAACAAAAAAGGCCAACTGACGTACAGATGATATAGCCTATGACCTGAAAAACCTCTGAGGCAACCTTATTTTTTGTATTTTTGACTTTGACAATTTTGACTCACACACTGACAATTATTTACTGAGGCAAAAGAAACTAAAGCTTAATAATATTCAAAATATTCTTTATATAATAAGAATCAAACTCTTAAAGAAAAAAGAAATAGAGCATAGTATTATACATACAATTAAGTGCCTCAGTGGTTATCAAGCTGAACTATTAAATAACTAAGCTATTAAATAACTGGGACTGCCACTCATAAGGATTCTAGAACTTTCAAATTAAATGTATACATATTGCTGCCCATAATATGTATTTTCAACTTGGAAGATATATTTGACAGGTATATTTTATATACCTCATCATTAATTTACACTTCATATTTTAAGGACATACAATTTTAATTCTTAATATTATTTGGAACTACCAGCATACATATTTACTGAAGAAATTAAGGAATGTTAAATCAGTTTTTCTGATCAAGTCTTTTTTAGACCCAGTGCCCTCTATCACAAAATCCACCATGATATGCTAAAGGACATCCTTACCACTCAGCACTAGAGAGGTTATTTTCACTAAAATACAGAAACTACCTCAAATAAGAAAAATGCCACATTTAATGACTTATACCCCAACTGTGGTAATTAATCAGTTAGGAATGGCTTGAGATATACCAGGTCTGTCTAGAAAGTACTATGTACTACGTACTATGAAAAATAGAGACATTTACTGAAGAAGATACAAGAAACATTGTACATAGGACAATGATGCCTCAGGCCCCTTCAAGTTAGGACCTTGAGGAAATCTGCTTCTTTGGAGTGGATTGAATCAAGTCATTCGCAACTGCAACATGATGTTCCTTCTGCTCCAGCAGTAGAAGCCACAGAACGAATTTTGCCACAACACATTTCGTGCCAAGATTCTGCATCGAAATCTCGGACACAGTAGTTTTTGGAATCCCCAGATCAGCTTCTAGCTTTCCCACTGTCAGTCGCCAATCTTTGTGGATCGCAGCCCATATAACATTCCACATTCTCAGGTGTTCCACTTGGTGCGGGCCTTCCAGAATGTCAGTTTCAACAGGTTCTCGACTGTCTTTGAAGGCTGAGTTCATCATTCTACTAAATGTAAAGCTATCATTGTCTACATCGCTCATTTGGTAGTAAGTCCTGAGCTGTTCTGTGACATTTCTGTAATCAGCCTTTTATTGTTAACGCACCTTGTAATTTTACTTTAACTATGAAAACATATGCATCTCTAAATCTTAACCTGCTTTTAAGTACCTGGGAGTTGACATTAGTCTCTATGTTCCTTTAGCTAGAGTGACAATGTGTATTTTTCCTCCAAACCCGGATACTTTGTGGTGAAAGTGAACAATAAAAAAAATGAACAGGCATTAATAAATATATCATAGAGGAACAAAAGATAGGGATCTAGAAGAGGTTTATGTCCTGGTAGACAGAGACTCTAACCTAGGGTACAGGTGGTGGGCATATTACAGCCTTTTTAGTTCGAAGGTAAAAAACCTTATCTCATCCCTCTTTACAAAAATCTTAAAAAGCGATTTTTGTTGAATAGTGCCAAATGATTATGCAAGCTATTATACATGTACCTTGAGTCTGCAAGTCTGTAACTGGTTTTCTAAGAGAAAGCAGTGTCCTAGGAAGAATGTATCTTCTGGAAGCAGGATTCTGTTCCTGCCACCTACCTATTCAAAATTTTCCAATGGCTCTCCAAGTACG